AACTTTTTGATTATAAAAATTGATTAGTGGTGAAAATAGTGAAACCATAAATACAAAAAAAAAAAAAATCAAATTTGTACATATAAACTATAAGATCACCTGTTTATTCATTGAATTAGGTCCAAATTTTCCATACACCAGTTCACATCGTCCCCTCCATACATCCACCCTACAATAAAAAGAAAAAGAAAAATTAGGTAGAAGCAAAAAAAAGTTTGAAAAAAAAGAACAAAAAAACAAGGGTTAGTTATGATCTGAAATTGAATACCATGAGCAAGGTATTTATATTGAATAGGAGGCGGTGCATGATTTAGAGTTTCTAAATTTTTCGACGATAAATACAAAAAAAGAAAAGAAAATTTACATATTTTAATAAGCAAATCACTATCATAATAATAAATATTTGTAAAACTGCCATTTATTCATTGTTATCCATGTTTATTTAAAATAATATTTACTTTTTTCGGTAAAAATATAGAATAATAACAACTATTTTAGATTTACTACTATATCTGATACTATCTTATAAAATATATTAAAATTTAAGGGAAAATTCCTTTCTGTTTCAAAAATAAGGCGGAACAATAATATAATTTTTGATTTACAATAGATAGACATGCATGGTATCCATATGCGTCATGTCACGCTGATCCATATTTTTTTCCAAAACTCGATCTAATTGCTATTATGTGCAAAAATCACCGCCGTTCACGTTCATGTTCACGTTAGCACTCCATACCTAATTCACATGTAAACCTCTCTGCCTATCTCTGACTTCAGCTCTCTCATCTTCGAGTCTCCCCAAGAAAGTTTTGACACCACACCAACATTTCATTCGTCAAAATTAAATCGAGTTTGCACAAGGTTACAACCGATTAATAGGTGGTCTTCTACCTTCTATTTACGATTTTATGCTATGAATATATGTTTTTGTCAGGGTTCAAGTCAATCTCCAGATTAGAGACTTATAATCATCCGACGAACAATACGATGGCGTGATAACCGTTTCTAAATTGGTGGGTTCTCTTTCATTGATCTACATATTATTTTTTTTGACGACGAACACGACGATCATACCAAAAATTTCATCTATTCCGGTACGTTTGATCTTTATTTTAATTAGTTTAACAATTAATTGCCGTTTACGATTAATTTCGGTTATCTAAATCTTATTAATTTGAGTAAGGTTAGAATAGTATTCTTTTATGTTTATATTAATGCTCCGATTAATAATTTTCGGATATTTGACATTATCATCTTAAATATATCAATATTATAATAAATATTTTCCTTTTCCGATTTTTTTTTTTGGTATAATTCCTTTTCCGATAAATTATGAAACAGATTTGTTTCCCCCAAGGGTTAAAAGGGAAAAAAAAAAAAAAAAAAAAAAAAAAAAAAAAAAAACCATCAACCGTCTCCATTCACACGTTTCTTCATTATGATCACGAATTCACGTTCATGGAAGCTTCATCATACATTAACACTTACAAGTTTCTTCGTCGAGTTTTTATCCAAGGTTTCTTCGTCAACTCTGTATCCAAGGTAATAAATATTTGTTCTTTTCATTGGTTAGAATTATAGGGTGCATGATAGTATTGACGTCTTAAAGACATAACATGGGCAAGATACTATGAGAAGCTTGACTATTCTGCTTCGACAGATCAACAGGTGAAATTCTATCACTAAATTATTAGATCTCTGTTATTGCTATGAATATATGCTTTATGTTAGGATTTCAAGTTTTGCCTTCGTTTAGAAGAATTATATTCACACGACGAAGAACACGATGAATTCAATTAAAGCTTCCTAACTGGTATTTCGTTGTTCCTTTTTTTTTTTTGGTTAATTATCATGTTTATTGTTTCCAAAATTATTTTTCCTGGTTAATTCCGAAATTCAATTTAATTTTTCCAAAATTAATTAGATTTCATTAAGGGTAATTAAGTAATTACGTAAAATCAATGACTCAACAAGAGCCGAGAGTCCGACACGTCAGCAAAAACACTTCTCAAATATTATTATATATAGATATAGATTATAAATTGTACTACCCAAATAATATTATAGGATTTTTTTTTTGGGTTTTTTACCATAATTGTTTTTACGATATAAAAAAAAAAAGAAAAGGAAAAGGAGAGGATGAGGAAGAGGAAGAAACATAGAGCAAATCGCCAAGATCCAACCATCCAAACATGGCGGCTTATAGAGAATTGAAGACACTACTACTGTTACTTACACGTACACGCTTTCTCTCTCTCTCTCAACGTCAAACGTGTCCCCTTTCAAATCTCCATCTTCCATGCGCCTCCGATCATTCTTCTTCTCTATCTTCTCCTTTTCACATTCTCCTTCTCTTCCTTCCTCCTCCTCTCGTTTCTCCTCTCTCCGCGCCGCTATGTCTCCTGCTCTTGAGAAATCCCGACAAGGCAATGGTGAATGTAATGAGGTTTCGAAATCTAAGGTTACGGTCGTTGGTAGTGGCAATTGGGGAAGTGTTGCTGCTAAGCTCATTGCTTCTAATGCCCTCAAGCTTCCTTCTTTCCATGGTAAATTTGGGATCTTTCTCTTTATATGATATGATTGATGATTTGGGTTTTGTCTCATTATCATCTCAATGCTGTTTTTTTGAAAGATTGTTTTTAAAAACTCAAACTTTATCTGTTAAAAATTGAACCTTTGGGCAAAGTTTTGTAATTTCACGTTGAGAATTGTTCAGTTTTGAATGGTTGAAGAAGAAATGGTTTTGATGGATCTTTTGATTGAAACCCAATAATTTTCAGATGAAGTGAGGATGTGGGTGTTTGAGGAGGTTCTACCAAATGGTGAGAAGCTTACTGATGTTATCAACAAGACCAATGTAAGAACAAATGGATGATTTTGTTATATATTGATTTTTTCGATTCTTAGAAACGGTTTTACGACTATTTTATTGGTTTCTTGAGTAGGAAAATGTCAAGTACCTTCCTGGGGTTAAGCTAGGAAGAAATGTTGTTGCGGATCCTGACCTCGAAAATGCAGGTATGCATGAACTTTTTCTCCTTTTACATGATCAGATAAGAATCTTGAAATTGATGGGTTTTAAAATTATGCAGTGAAGGAAGCAAACATGTTGGTTTTTGTTACACCGCATCAGTTTATGGATGGTATATGCAAGAAATTAGATGGAAAGATCACAGGAGATGTTGAGGCTATATCTCTTGTTAAAGGAATGGAAGTGAAGAAGGAAGGTCCTTGTATGATCTCAAGTCTCATTTCCAAGCAACTTGGTATCAATTGCTGTGTTCTTATGGGGGCAAACATTGCAAACGAGGTTGTTACATGATCCAATTTGACTACTTTGGGTAATTTCTCTTTTTACATTTCTGTGACTAATTATAATGTAATACAGATAGCTGTGGAGAAGTTTAGTGAAGCAACGGTTGGATATAGAGGAAGTAGAGAAATAGCAGACACATGGGTTCAGTTGTTTAGTACTCCGTATTTTATGGTCACACCGGTAAGAAGTCTTGATGCTTCGATTAGTTTTGTTCCTGGTTGTTAAATGGCTAAGTTGTTACCATGATCTAGGACTACAGTATTTGGAATAGATTCCTCATACATATAAAGCTTGTTTTAAAAACAGGTCCATGATGTGGAAGGAGTAGAGTTGTGTGGGACCTTGAAGAATGTAGTGGCTATTGCAGCGGGTTTCGTGGACGGTTTGGAAATGGGTAATAACACAAAGGTAAGTTAAAATGAAGTTTTATTGTTTCCTATTAGAGACGTAAGTAGTTTCTAGATATCTCAAGCTATTTACTTTTAAATCATCTTTAGGCTGCAATCATGAGGATTGGTCTAAGAGAGATGAAAGCGCTCTCAAAGCTTCTGTTTCCATCTGTTAAAGACAGCACTTTCTTCGAGAGCTGCGGTGTAGCAGATGTCATTACAACTTGCTGTAAGACTGAATCAAAACCCGAGTTATTTTTGCCTTTTTTGTTCATTGTTACAGCGATTCCATTTTGAATCTTCTTTCACTGACTATTACAGTAGGAGGAAGAAACCGAAGAGTTGCGGAAGCATTTGCAAAAAGCGGAGGAAAAAGGTTTTACCTTTGTTAATCAAACTGATCTCCAGTTCACTTTTTTTGATGGTTTTGTGGTGTAAACGTCACAGGTCTTTTGATGAGCTTGAAGCAGAGATGCTACAAGGGCAAAAGCTACAGGTAGACCACCATATATATTGAGAAAATTTATGAAGAACATAGACTCTTAGTTTTGTCTGTTTAATCTTCTTGCATCCTGCTTGTGATAATTCAAGTCCTAAGTTCGAAAGTGGTTTCTCTGTGTCTATGTCTGACTGCTTATTAAAGGGGGTATCGACAGCAAGAGAGGTCTACGAGGTGTTGAACCATTGTGGATGGTTGGAGATGTTTCCGCTCTTTTCAACGGTTCACCAAATCTGCACGGGTCATCTTCAGCCTGAAGCCATCGTCCAATACCGCGAGAACAAACTATAATTTTTATTGATGGTACATTCATCTTCAAAGATTGATGAATTTGATGTAGAGGTTAACGTTTTTGTGTGCGCCTGTTTGCTGGTAAGTGAACCTTGTAGTTTGCTTGGACCGAGCTCAGTCGTTTATGTTCAATGTTGTTAGCACAAGTACCGAATTCGTCTATCAAGAAATTGATTAGACTGTTTTGGATTGGATATGAAAATATTTTGAGATAGAAATCTGAGTTCAATTTGGATTTTCTTATGGACTTAATTTAAAAATGGATTTTGTAAAACAAAGGCCTTTTTGGACAGAGTTAACGAATTTCTGAATTTAAAACGATTAGTCGTTTGTTAAATAAATAAAAATTTAAGCCCAGTATAACTCAATTTGGATATACAAAAGTTTTTCAATCAAGGTTATAAGTTATAACTAAGCCTGTTAAAGGTCTGATAATTCTTTACTTAATGGCCCGTTAAGCTTATATAAAAGGTTTCGACTTTCGAGTGATCAAATAATACGATTTTTTTTTTTTTTGTCACAAGAGTGTCTTCTTTATTATAACAAAGCCAAAGTTACCAGTACATTAGTGATTCTTCCACTTAGTCCAAAGCATAAAACAAACATCCACAACCAAATAGGATGCTCCAAAGCGACAAAGCCGACGAGTTCATAGAACCCTCGGAGCCAAAAGCCCCAAAACAGAGAGACAATTGAGGAAGAAACTCCTAAACCAACAGACACAAAGGGTTAAAGTCTTAAGCTCCGAAGAACTAACACTGAAAACTCTGAATCAAAGGCAACCGACGAACACTTCCATAGGAAAAGGAGACGCCAGAGCTGAGCTACAAACTGGAGCCCTTGAAAAGAACCAATCATTAGAATGCCCCCAGAAAAGACTGAAGGCCCGAGAAAGGAACTAAACTGAACCCACACAACCACAACACCGGCAGAAATGAAGACGGAGAATCAACTAAAACAGAGCACAGAACCTAATCCAACACTACCACTCCAAAGAACCAATGCATCGAGGAGGCAGCAGAACAAAGAGCAACAATTAAAACCGAGAGATGGAACGCCAAAGAGGATCCCCACTTCTTACACACGGACATTCGTATGCCCCACCCAAGCCACCTACAGAGAAAGGATAGGTTACCACCACGCAAGAGAAGAGATGGAGAAAGAATCCACTGCATCGTCTTGAACCCGTAGATACCTCTGCAACAAATTGCCAACTTAAAGACGAATCCATCAATCAAACCTAAGCCAACGCAAGGCACCAAAAACTCGAGAGGATAGAACAGAGAGGAAGAACTAGGAATCATATCCAATAACCCAATAGCCAACAAGAGGACCACACCTGACTACACCAATGATATAGAACCAGAGATTGAGAGCCACAAAATCCGGACCAAACGTCTAAGACGTACTACCGAACCTTAGAGAAAGGGCCAACAAAACATCTAATTCTCATATGAAGACCAAGCCAAAGATTGAATCCATCCTAAAATACCCACGACTAAACAACTAAACATCTAAAACTAAACCAACTGAGAGCAAGCGATGAGGAGCTTCAGCCAAGACGAAACAAAGAAGACGAACCGGACCCGAGAATGGTACCTCATGAGTCACACCAAACGACGGTGAAGAGAATGGAAAGCACCGGAAATTCTGACAATAAATTAACCCGAGGAACCCTCCAGATATGAAACCCGACGAGACCTCCGGATCTAAAACGACTTCCCATCACCACCTGGAAAACCACCACCGTCTCTATTACAATTCTCAGGTCACTTCACATTGCCGTCACGCGCCGGAAGCAACCAAACCACGCGACTGAGAAATCAAAGCTGGCTTCAACACCACCAAAGTCCCGAAATCTTTAGAATTTCACTAACGATCATAAACAAACAGACACAAAAGCCGGAAAAAACCGAAATCAAAGCGCCAACACGGCGAGCCAAAAGCCCGAGGATCGGGAAACAAAGCAGAATCGATGCCGGATCAACAAGGATCTCTGGCTATCGATCCGAATCTAAAGACGGCGAAGAAGCTTTTGAAGAGAGAGAAGAGAGAAAACCCTCTCGAGAGGGTCTTTTGATCAAATAATACGATTTATTGGAAAAAAAAACTTTTGGAACCAAAACTTAGAAAATGTGGTATTTTGTAGAATTTTGTCCTTTATTTTTTAGGCGATTTCGATTTTTTTTTTAATCGTCCGCAGAGTTAAAAATATTTTGTTTATATTAAATTTATGCTATTTTTGGAACTTTGGAGATATGGTGTTAAATTTGGAAACAAAACATATTATTGTGCTATTTGTGAGAATTACCCTTTTAAAAATAATTAATTAAATAAATTTACTACAAGAACATTGAAAGAGCAAAAAGCGTCAAATGGTAACTTTTGAAAGCTCATTTAGAAAAAAAAAAACTTTCTTTATTATATAAGATATATATATATATATATATAGTAGTGAAAAATTTATTCGAAAAAAACATTTTTACAACAAGTGAAGCATTTGTTTAAATGATTTTGACATACATTTATCGAAAAGAGTTTATGTAGAAGCTTCTTTTGTTATCTTGTTGTAAACCATATCGCCATACACCCTTTATATCTTCTATCCCTTTTCTCTTGAATTGAAGATATTATATTCTGAATTTGCTTATCTAGTTGTTGGACTAGTTTGTTTGATGAAATTGGAATTTTGTCATGTCTTCTATTATTTCTTTCCGCCCACAATGAATGAATTGCAAATTGAAAAGAATACCTTATCAGAAAAAGTTAATCATGTTCGAAAGAATTATCCATGAGGAGCTTGAGGATTTAATTCCATGTTGTTGCGAATCGGGTAGAAAGGATCTTGGAAGCGAGTCTGGACCAGACTTCCTTTAAGTAGCTACACATGAAGAACAAATGGTGCGAGTTTCCCAAGGACGTTGACAGAACACACACGAGGAATTTGCTCCCACATTCTAGTTCAACATTCTATCCCCCATCGATAAATGATTTTGTATTGCAAGCCAAGAGAAGAAATAGTATTTAGGTGTGGCGTGTGAGAATCATATACCTTTATACCATATATAAAGTCTATACCAATAAATTAATCTCAGTTAGTGATAAATATGGTAGAGATTACCCTTTTTTTCTTTTTCTATATAACTGTTTACTGAGTTTTCGTTATTCAAACTCAAATTAAGTGGGTTTTGGTCTTTTGGATCGAACTAATGTTGTATATTCAATAATTTATTCCTCTATCTTACCAAAAAAAATATATTGTATTCCTCAATTAAAAAGTTGAATTATTCACATTAAGTATCTAATTAATCATTTTACTATATATTAACAATCAATTACCAAATAAATAAATAACAAAATTAGAATACAAACAGTGGAAATATCTTTTCCATGTTTTACACATACTATTTGAATATTCTGAATTAGAAACCTGAGTTCATCTAGATTTTCTTATGGACTTGTTTAGAATGGATTATGTAAAACAATGGCTTTCTTGCCACATTAATTCTTAAATCTTAATGCAACTAATTAAAAATAAAACTTTAACATTAAAATTTAAATCTATGTGATGTGAAAACAAAATGGGTATAGGCAAACATAATTGTACAGTACTGTGATTAAACCAAAAAAACATGAACTGCATATAACGGCCTGATGGACCACGTGTGAGTGTGACGTGCGTGTCTACATCAAAAAAACGGCATGCAGTCATTTTTTTGCAAGCCATCAAGAAACGGCACGTAGTCTAAATTCGTAGGCAGAGAACTAAAGATCATCGAGATTCGATAAAGATTACATTTTCCGTTCCGTTAGAATCTTTGCTTCCCTCTACTTCATCGCAGTGTTAACTGCTCCTTTTTTTTCCCGGTGGCGCGATTCTAATCTCCGGCGACTTCTCCGATTTCATCGTCGGTGAGTTTCCCTCTCGCTCTTTCTCTTTTCTTCTCAGCATCCGTATTCGGAATCCTCGCTATTTGACAATGTTGGTTTTGAAATCGCTCGTCTCGTGTCTCGTCTCGTGTCTCGTCTCGTTTTCTTGTACCTAAACCCTAATGTACATATGCCGATGCTTCTATAGTAAACGATTTCTATCTTTCTCTGTTGTTTTCTTGCTAGATTCGATTTCTTTGTGCTTTGGAACCTCACTGTGAAATTGTTTCTTTCATCCATACTTGTGAAATTGATGAATGTATAGTGTCCCAAATCAGAATTGCATGCTATGTTCTTGCTTCTTGATGCTTTCTCTGGGCTTCTATGAACCACTGTTGTTGTTGATCTCAGGACCAAGAATGTGGTTCACCTGAAAAATTGGGTTTTAGACTTTTAGGGGAGATTTCTGTACTTATGTGTTGATTATACGCAAAGATAATGGAGGTTTAGTGTAGTATTGTTCAACATTTATCGACATTATGAAGCTTGTGTATGAGTTCTCTGTATTTTTATCTGGTGCTGAGATTTGCGTTTGTTGTATCTCTTGAATTGTCCACAGCTATGAGTAAAAGAGCCGCGGAAGAAATGACTCCTTCATTGGAGAGCAGTAAAACCGGACCAGACGTTTTTGGCTACTATAGAACTCAAGTAGAAGAGCTCTTGTCTCAAAAAGAGAAGATCCCTCATCATAAACATGTGGATACTAAGAAGTCTTCTACTGAGATTATAGGAGCTGAGTTGTCGGATCTCAAAAAGGAGAAGTTGAATGCATTGTTAAGGCAGTGTGTGTTGGATTCGACTCCAGAAGTTGATGAGGTACGTTGAGTTATTCTTGAAATCATATTTGGTATCATGACGCTTAGCTTTAAGAGACATTAATATTAGGTATGCAATTTGTTTGCAGATGCAGTCGCGTGTTGATTCATTGCATCTGATGTCTCAGTTGAGTAATAAAAAACCGTCAACCTTACCTACCGATGCTGAGTCTGTGATTCCTGAGGATCCTTCGTTTAAAGAGGTGAGATAATGCGGTTCATGCATTCTTCGTCTGATAGATGTTTATGAAATCATTTTTATTACTCACATTTGTTTCCTTAGGTGGAAGATGATATACAATTACTTATGAAGTCTGATCCTGGTCTTGTTAAGGAAATAGTGGGCAAACATTCAAGTGATCTACTTGCCAGAGTAATGCTCTCAGGAACTTTCTTCTTCTGTTCACATCTCGAGCTCGCTCCCGAAACATCTAATGTTATTATTTTCTCTCTGCTTTGACTAGTTGAATGACGTGCAGCAGCAACTTGAGAAACTACTTGACAATGTGGTAACCACATGCAGGTATAATATACAGTTTCTTGTCTCCCTCTCTATATATATAGATAGACATTCTACCTTCAATTTGTTACTCATGTGTTTGTTTGGTAAGTCTTATCAACAGACCTATGAGCCGTGGAGAGAAGCGGGATCTTCAGAGAACAATTAAGGAATTACCTGGAGAAAATCTTGAACGCGTTGCTGGAATCATCAAAAACCACTATGTAGCTTTGGGCAAAGAAATGCCTGATGATGTTTTCGTCATCAACATGGAGGAGGAGGTAGGCTTCTTGACATAGAATCCTGCTCCAATCATTCATATGGAAAATCATAACACAATTCAAAACAAATGTCTGTTTCAGGACAACATACTGCTTTGGAGATTGCATTATTTTGTCGCCGCAGTCAAGAGTGCAAGGAAACTCGCTAGCTGAGTAGTACAGATACATATATACTCAACTCCTTGTCCCAGATTGTGAGTATATTAGGAAATGACAAGGAGAAAACCTGGTACCCATTGTATTAAACTCGGGTTATCTTACAATTTTGACTACAAAGATCCCACCAGTTTTGGTTCAGTACATGGATTAAGGGAAATACAAAAGAAGATGATTTTGTTTGTTTTGACTTTTGTGGATTAACAAAGAAACTGCGAGATGAAGTTTGTGTAACTAGAGGTCTAGTTCTTTTCAAATCTGTGTTTTCTACATTTTAATGACTCCTGCGTATGAGAATTGACTGTTGAGACTTGAGAGTAATTAAGTCATCTGCTAGTATTATTTGAGACTGAGTTTAGTAATTTTGGAAGATTTACTTCCAAAATCCGCAAATAGGATCTTGTAGTAGTTAAAGAGTCAAGCATTGTGCTTAATATGAGAATCACACCCTTCAACTTGATAATGATAATTGGATATTACGAAAACATTACTTTCAATTTGTTATACATTATAAAAATTTAAAATTCAGATGCCTAAATGAGATCGGAAAATAACTGCATGCATCTCTTGGCTTTGAATCCCAAATGTGAACCATCTTAGTCCTACTGACTCGCATCACTCTTCCTGTGTCGAAACATGATTGTGCAAGTCGCTTTATGGGCAAGATTTTTCATCATGGCGAAGACTAAAACAAGAAGCACAGTAACCAAAAAGCTTCTCATATTCCATCTTCACCACCACCTCCTCACCACCTGTTTCGAATTGAACCGACATTTCGAAGCACAACGGCATAGTACTATCGATAGTCACTTTGACCCTCGCGTTTTCTTCATCCACTTCTTGAACCGTGCCCAGCTCATTCCCGATTCTCCGGAAATCCTGATCAGTCCAGAAATCTCGAGGAACACCCACGATTCTGACCCAAAATGTGATCGCCGATGGGTAGTCCTTGTGTATAACTGGTTCCCACCTTACAATAGAAACCATCCAATGATTAAAATTGAAAGGCTCCGTTTTCATCACCTCCAGAATATCTTCCTCTCTCTCGAAATCAAACCTGAACGTTACCAATCCCAAGTCCTTCCCAACCACTCGGCCCTCTAGTTTCCAGACTCTAGGCATCATCAAAACTACTGATCCAACACTCTGAACGTCAGGATTCATTATCCTTCCGATAAGCGTCGTCCTCTTTAACCTTCTGATTAAATCCGAGTTGTCGAACGCCGGAATTCGAATTGTTCGTACCATGGGCTTAATGCCCTTGCCATTGTTTTCTCCAAACCGCGACATGGTACCGTAAGAAACCGAGTTTGATCGTATGTAATGTGTGAGTGTGACCTTGTCTGAACATTCCTATTTATACATATGACCATCGGTGAAAATGCTGCATGAATGAATCGCAACTCGAATCATGCTAATCTCCTACATGATAATGACATAAATTGACAAGTTATTTTTGTATGATTGAGTTTCCATTACTGTTCCTCAGTGATTCTAATCTTTTTGACTAAGGGGAAACCAAATCAATCAAGGATTCCTTAGCTTAATTGATTTTCCAAATCTGTTTATTATGACCATTTCTATTTCAGGATCCATCCCACACGAAGATTTCAAACTTTTGAACGTAACATAATCGAATATCAATTAGAAAGATATATGCTAACTAAATATGTTATTTTATATATATTTTTAGTAAACAAAAATCATATTATTTTAATGCGTTGTTGTTTTTTCAAAGTTTTTTTTATCTCCACCAATTCTTTTGCTATTTTTAGCATTTCTTAATTTTTATCTCCACCAATTCTTTTATCATTTTTAGCATTTCTTATAAAAAGTGTAATTCAATCAATTTACAATATATTTTGTATTTATGCATTCCAAAAAACATTATTGGTATGAAACAAAAGGAGTAGAGTAGACGGTGGATATAGGGCCATGATTAATTAGAGTCAAGGCATTGTGATTAGTTTGACATTTAATTACATCCGTCATTATGTCAACGTTATTGTATTTATCCCCAACTTGATAATGAAAATCCGATATTAATTTTGATATCTTAAATTTCAACGGGTTAATTAGCTAATTATAACATTTAATAAGAACTCAGATGCGTGAATAAGATCGCAAACTAGTTCCATGCATAATGCATCTCTTGACTTTGAAATGCAATTCTTGACTTTGAATCCCAAATGAACCATCTTGTTATATACTTGAATATATATAACATAAAGCGTGACATTGTTCTCCAAATTATATAGTTAATCACTATAAACTACAACTTGGCTTAATAGTCAAATTCAAAACCAAGACTCATTATCACCAAGTCTTCTCCATTATTCGCTATAAATAGATTGAAACCCTAAGCTAATTACAATCACAAACACAAACAAAACCTCTCAAATAACTAAATCAAGAACATTGAACATAACAATGTCTTCACGACAATCGGTGAGGCACCCGAGTCACAACCATCCATTGCGTGGTCACAAATGCGAAGCGAAAGACGAAATCATCTGCTCGGGTTGTGATCTCGATCTGGTTGGTGCAGCTTTCAAATGTACGAAGTCATCAGATTGTGATTACTTCTTGCACAAGTCATGTTTTGACCTTCCACGTGAAACCAACCACAAATCTCACCAAACCCACACTTTGACTTTACTCTATTCCCCAAAGTCAACGTACACGTGTAATGCGTGCGGCGAGTACGGATCAAGTTTCACGTACAACTGTTCGATCTGTAAGTACGATGTACATGTCGGATGTGTCTCAATGCCTGAAACCGTGAAGCGTGAAGATCACGCACATCCACTCACTCTTCTTTATGGTTCTCCTTATAACCAACCCGGTTTAGTTTCCAAATGCGATGTTTGTGAAGACATTGTCCCGGATAATCTCTGGTCGTATTATTGCAAGGAATGTGATTATGCTACGCATTTACACTCATGTAAGAAAGAGGAAGAGGCAAAGAAAGAAGAAAAAGGAGAAGGAAGCAAAAGCTCGGTGAATTCGGAGTTAGCTGCAATGTTAGAGGCTCAAAGAGAAATGGAGAGGATGCAGATTGAGATGCATTTGGCGATGCAAAGTGCTTTGATTTCGAAAAAGGCTAATAAGGCGGCTCTCAATTGCATATAAATTGAAGAAAGTTGGGATTCATTGGGATTCTTCAAATGCCCCTTACTCGTATTTCTGATTTTTTTTTTTTTTTTTGGCTTTCTCCTTGATTTGTTGTTATTGCTGCCAAGTTTTCATGTTGTTTTTGTTGTTATTTTCTTTGAAATTGTTATATGAAATAAAAGAATTATCAGTTGTTTTTTTTTGTTGAACGATTGTTGCTGCTTTCCGTTTTGCAAACTAGGACCTTTGCATATGTTTCAAGTTCCATCATCCATTTTATATTACTTTATGACAAATATGCACATAGTTGATACTCTAGCTATGAGTATCATTAACATTTTTTAGTATTAATTTTAATGTTTGTTTATTGTTGGAGATTTTTATGATACTGATAATAAATTTGTTTCCATTGGTGAGACCGGTTAAGTATCATAAAAAAAAAATATTATTTGCAAAATCAAAAATAAATATATAAAAACACATTGTTCTTAAAACACAATACCTGAACTGCTGGAGGAATCGCAAGTTCGACTTCGTGACTATAACCCAATTTGAGGTATAAGAAACGCCTTGCTTCCTCAGCTCTAGCTTTGTATCCAACTCCAACAATCTTCAAGAATCGAAAAAAACTTGGCTTCCATTTCTATCACTCCTAAAGCCATTTAGAATACAAAAAGATGCTTAATCAAAATCTGAAGGCGGCAGATTACAACTCAGTCAAAGGTAATAGACAAAGCAAAGACAAAAAAAATCCATTGCAAAAGCAAACACTGAAAACATTTTCGATCTTGTGACCACGAGCCATCACAAGCGAAGGAACAACAGTTGCGGCGATGGCTGAGACGATTGCGTGAGGCGAGAAGGGGAATGATTTGTTTTTTTCTCTGCTTTCAGCTGACCAATCGTGTGCTGTCACGTCACCTGATACTGAGTATCAAAAGTATCAGTGGACTGATACGGATCAGACCCAAATACATGCTTTGGTCCATTAAAAAAATGATTTTTGGGCTACTGATACTCAAATAAAATCACCTATGTGCATGGTCTAAGACTCTAAGTCTTGGATCACCCCTAGTTATATTAATTGTGAGATTTGGGGTTATCTAAATTGGATATTTTTGGTTTAAAATATTGTAGTCTTAAGTAGTTTGTGTTACTCTCATCGAGGTGATAACGAATGAATTCAAATCCGCATGATCATAAAACAAAAGTTTAAAATTTAATTTTATATATAATAGAAATATGGTATTAACTAAATTTGATTATATATTTCTGGTTGTAGTTATTTTTTCCTAAAAACAAATTGAACTCAAAACTGAAAAAAAACAAATCTAGACCTTGCAAACACACAATTAGAAGTCACATAATCGTTGGGGAGTTAACAAATGGGCTCATTTTGACAGAAGTTAAGCCCATTAAGATAAAGAGAGGCCCATTTATATAGAGCCTCAAAAATAGTTTAATTGAGGAAGAAGAAAACTTTGCTAAAAGTTGCTTTTCAACTCTCTCTTCTTCTTCTCCGATTCGAGCTTCCTTCCTCTCGAAAAATCTTCAAGACCAGGTAACATCACTCTTCTATAAGCTTAGCTTTTACTCTTTTCTTCATCATCCTATCGTCTCCGTGGACTCTATCTTCTCGATTTTGCCCATCATTCAGCGATCTCGATCCCAACTATTTGATTTGATTTTACTTCACGGGTTTTCAAAAATTTAGCTTCCCACTTTGGCTGATGATTTGATTTTTCCTGATTTATAGAGTGGTGAATCGGAAAATGACGCAGTCGTCCGTAGATTTACCGCCGAAAGGTGGGTTTAGCTTCGATCTGTGCAAAAGGAATGATATGCTGACACAAAAGGGTCTTAAAGCTCCATCGTTTCTCAAGACTGGAACAACTATTGTTGGGTTGATATTCAAGGTCTGTGTTTGTTTCTATCTCACATTCTCTAAAATGCATTGGCTTTTGGGTTTGGTTTGATAGCTTTTGCGTGTTTAGCATAGTGTAATTGTTGGATTGTAAGTCCTCTCTTATGGTCTTTTGCAAGTTATGGAACTATGGAAGTGAACAGTGTGACCTAAGGTTTAAGAGTTTTGGGCTAAGATGCAAATGTGATTTGGGCACCTGGTAGCTTTAGATAAGATAACAATTAGATTCCTCTAATTATTGTGAAATATGTTTGGTGGGAACATGAAAGTATGAGGTGTTGTTGCTTTCTCAACCCTTAACCATATGACAGCACATTGATGCTTTTTATGATCTATTTACGTCTCTCTATACTCTAGAACACTCCATGAAACATGTGATGATGTGCGCGCTCCTGTTGTTATTCTCTTTCAGATTCTGAATAGATGATTGCTGATTTCATTTATCTGTTTGTATAGGATGGTGTGATACTTGGGGCTGATACACGGGCAACTGAAGGGCCTATTGTGGCTGATAAGAACTGTGAGAAGATTCACTATATGGCACCAAACATTTATTGTTGTGGTGCCGGAACCGCTGCTGACACTGAAGCAGTAACTGGTAATTTCTTTAGCTACCAAATTTCTATACTGCTACCCTAAATCAAAGTTGGATTTCTCTGAACTTCTGTTAGCTCGATCAAAACCCAATGCTAAGTTATATTGATTTCTATCTCACTGTTCAGATATGGTCAGCTCACAGCTGCGGTTGCATAGATACCAGACTGGCCGAGATTCTCGAGTCATTACTGCATTGACCCTTCTCAAAAAACATCTTTTCAAGTATTTTTGCTTCACCATGACTAGAAACTCGTCTTATGTTTGCTAATAGGCATATGTAATTTAACTTCCGAAGTATCATTCAGCTATCAAGGTCATGTCTCAGCTGCTCTTGTACTTGGTGGAGTTGATATTACCGGGCCTCATCTGCATACCGTGAGTTTTAAACTCCTGATCAAAGTTCTCAGCTGTAGAAAGCTTTTATAGTTCAGGTTCTTTCTTTTTGTATTCATCTTTAACGTTCTGACTAAAATGCAGATATACCCACACGGTTCCACTGATACTCTACCATTTGCTACAATGGGTTCTGGTTCCCTTGCTGCCATGTCAGTGTTTGAAGCAAAGTATAAAGAAGGTCTAACTGTAAGTAAAGCAGAGACATTTATCATTATATTTTTTAGATTTCTTCTTGGCTGTTTGTTTGATGCTTGACTCAAATCTTCCAGAGAGACGAAGGAATCAAGTTGGTTGCTGAAGCCATATGCTCTGGTATATTTAACGACCTTGGTAGTGGTAGCAATGTGGATATCTGTGTGATCACTAAGGTTTGTCATACTCTGTCTTCCTCCGCTTTTAATAGATTACTGTACTATCTAGAAATTTGTTTGTTTCATGACTGACATATATTAAGCTAAACCAAAGTGATTTGCTACAAAACCAATACTTTGGATTACCTATATCTTTATTTGAAACTTATTGTGTGAGCCGATTTTGGGACAGGGGCACAAGGAATACTTGAGGAATTACATGGAACCAAACCCAAGAACCTATGTTAGCAGCAAAGGCTATTCATTCACCAAGAAAACTGGTAAGAAGCTACTTGTTGCAACACTTAATCGTTTATGGTACCAATCCTGATTGTTGAAGTTCTTGTTTAATTTGATCTTCCTCTTCTTCTTACTAATTTTTGTTTCTCTGTGAAATCAGAGGTTCTACTGACCAAAATTACACCATTATCAGAGCGAGTCGAAATTGTTGAAGTGGCTGGTGAAGCTATGGAGGAATGAATCTCATGTGAGAGACGACACTAAGAGTGAAATCATTGTTCTACTTCACATGACAGTCATTTTCTACTTTGTTTAATTTTAACGATTGAAATCGAATCTTAGTTGCTTTCATTTCAGTCTTTAGATTTGGCTTGAACTTGTGATTAATGGTTTTGAAATTTAGCTCTCGCATAATTTTCAAAAGAGGCTCTTTTTTTACAAACAAAATTGTGCTCTTTGTTTTTTTGTCCACAATAACATCTTAAGACGACTCATCATTCTTACTCTTTTTCTTCCTAGAAGCAAAACTACTTGGTCCAATCTCTATTGACATTCTCTTTGTTCTGTAGAAGAGACCAAATTGAGTTATGAAAATGAGACGCAATCAAAAGGATGATTGTGAAAAATAGAAGAGCATATGTTCATATATATACCTTTCTGAGAGCTCTTCAGATTCTTTGGCATCACAATGAGAAGCTGTACCAAAATCAGATGCAAATCTAATTAAAGGTTTTGAAATGAGATGACAGTAGAACTAACAAAAAAAAAGAACAACCTTTACAGTTTCCTTCATCAGTCTCTTCATCTGACTCTGAATCAGAACTTGACTTAAGCATCCAAAAGTCGGATTCCTCGGAACCAGAATCTTCCTGATTGTGTCTTGGTTTGGTTACTTGTGTTTTCTCAGTCCTTCCACTTGATCCAGCTCCTCTTTCCACTTGCTCTATCAAATTTATCAACATCAAAACATTATAAGCCAAGACATACTAAGATTCATTACAAGATTTCAATGAATATGATATCATGGGGGAAACAATTTATTGACCTAATTTGTGAAGAAATCTTCTGCCATTCACGTGTTTCCAGATATGTTCCTCGTTCTTGTTCACAGTATCCCCAGTAAGCTTGCACACGAGTTTCGAGCTGAGAACATGGCCAAAAGGGAAGAAAGCTTATAACTTTTAATCATTTTCAATGCTGCCAAAACCAAAATAAAGCTTTGAACTTTAAACCATTTTCGATGCTGAGAACAAAGCCAAAAGGCTCAAAATCAGAAGAAAGATTAGAACTTTTAACACACTGACTGAATACAACAGAAATAACTACCAATTCATCTCCTCAATGGTCTAAAAAAAAACAAAATAAACCAGCTTTATACTGTAGCAGCACTTTTTTTTGGTTTAATACTGTAGCAGTACCTATGAGGCTATGACTATGAAATGAAAAGCAAGGATCTAAATGAAACTTGAGCTAATACAATCTGAAACTCTAGAGAAATCCAAAGACATGAAAGTCAAAAATTTTAACGCACAGAACACTGAAAGTTTCATCCTTTCTTGCTCAGAAAACCATCAAAGTTTCATCATTCATTCACAAAGTTATAAAAGCAGAGAGAAACATCATAAACAAACAACACACAGATTCAACTTCTACTTCCTTTTACATATCAAAGTTAAAACCATGGATTTGCTTGAATTGCAATTCGTATAAAATTTGTCAATTTGAAACCTGCCCCCCAACTAAAAATTTGATTTTCTCAGAAACACACAAAAATTTGAGAAACTTATTTGACTAACCGAGAAAGTGGGCATTGCGAGAACATGTTGAGAGGAGACTTTCCCTGAGACAAAGCGTGATCGATGAGTCCTAAACGACACCGTTTGTTACGAGCGTATGATTCTACGTCTCCGGCTAAAACCTCGTGACCAGTCTCGACGCATCTGAGCCGTCCGTTTCCAAGATCAACGAACGTCGGAGAGCCAAACAGACTCTTCCCTTCTTTCGCCTTCTTCTTCATCATCGTCGGTGAGCCAAGCATATAGACTCGAATCCCTCTATAGTTCGTGGACATAAAAATTGAACCAAACCAAATTGTATTAAACCAAAACCAACCAATTTTTGTTTTGGCGGAAATGATAGTTATACCGAAAAAATTGAACCGAACGCAACCAAAAGACACTGATATGAAACCACTTGTATATAGAACCCAACCCAGCTGAACTATATACAATAATCCTAAGAAAATTATATTAAAATTCGATTTATTAACATATTTGCACACAAGTTTAGAGGAGATCTTCAACGATATACAATTATAGTCGTTCGATGTGATTCTACGCATTGAAATTTGAAAGTATCTATTATGAATATGGAGAATGAAATGTCGTCGGCCATGGACCACAAAATTATGTTGTCTTTCGTGGATCTAACATGGTCAGAAAGAATTGTCCGTGCATAATCGTATATGTAACAATTCTCATCATTTACACTAAATTATAAATCCAGTCGTTTTAAAGCTAAAACAGATCTTTATAATCCTGTTATACGATAAATCTAGTTCGTTTAGTAGAAAACTAATATTATACAATAATCCATTCCTACGAGAATATTAGACCAAGGTCTTTTCTGTTAATATGAGACAACGAATTCATAATCGTGGAGTTCAAATAACTAGAAAACACTCTAAAATAATAGCTTGAAATAATGGTAGTTATGATTCTTAATATAGAGTGGAGTCCTCAAGCTCCAATTGAGTGGAGAAGAGAAGCTGAGATGTTGTTGAAATCCTATACATGGATTTTAACTCCTTCATTATCTTCTTTTTATTCCATTTCCAGGTTGATTTCAAAGAGATTCAAATGGAGTCCATCAAGGCTCAAACTCCAGTTGAGTGGAGAAGAGAAGCTGACATGTTGTTGAAATCCTATACATGGATTTTAACTCCTTCATTATCTTCTTTTTATTCCACTTCCAGGTTGATTTCAAAGAGATTCCAGCTCTCTTTAAACACTTGGAGTTTGCAAGGATGTATCTTACTATTTCTTTCTCTTCGCTTGTTCCTCTATATTCTTTCCACTCAAAGATCTCGAGTTTCGTTGACAAGCATAGAGGTACATCATTCGGTTGCTTGAACGAGAGTGGAAAAGCCTCGGACACACACCTCTGTGAAGCAACAACAAGGAATATAGTTAACATGTTTGCTTTGAAGTTTAATTTATTAGTGCCATGCGCTACGAACCTGCAGGTTGATGAAAACAGCTTTCAGTTTAGGAGAATGTTGAAGCAAAGCAACAAATGGTTCAAACCAATCGAACTCAACAACAAGTATTTTACACTCTATAAGGCGGGAGAAGTTTATGGTTTGACAACACGCAACCTACAATGAAGGAAAATGTGATCACAACAATTGAAAAAAAGAAAAAGAAAGAAGAAGTGGTGTTGAAAGAGCTTTGATTACCGTTTCATTGATCAACATTAACTCGAGATGCATGACTGAAGAAAGAGATCTCATAAACTTGTCATCAGGATAAAAAGTTACGTAGACAAATGCATTATCAAGGCAAGGCTTGCTCTCAATCGAGCAAGAGTTTCTCGATATATCTACGATGAATAAATTCTTTAGAATCGCTGAATTTATGATCAAAGATCCTGCTTTTGATTTCTCATTGGTATATACTAAGGTCTCTAGAGATGGCACTTGTACTCTAAACTTTATTAAATTGTCTTGGTCATGTCGCTCAACATACAACTGTTTGAGAATAGGACAACCCGATAAGAGCCTAACAAGAGAATCATCATCTTTGTATACAACAAAGCAAAGTTGCATACGTTTAAGGGATGGCAAGCATACCGGAGAAGCAACATCTACAAAAACCTTATTGGAAAGACGGAGATACACAAGCGTATTGCATATATAAAGGTTTTTGGGCAAGCTAGTAGGCTTTGCGGACCACATGAGATCAAACTCTAGTTCAGAAACCCCGCGATCAACTGCATTTGAAATCCACTTTACTACATCAACATCAACAGGACAATGTGGACCGAGCTCTATAATCAATCTTTCTAATATAGGTGCCTCGTGGAGTTGCAATGACTCGTTAAGAAACTGCCAAATAGACTCACTTTCACCAAAAAGATAGTCAAGAAAACGGTATAGAAATCTGTTGTGAGTGCCTGCTTTGATGATATCTTTGTACTCGAGTCGTGGCATCATCGTCCAAACAGATAACCATCGTTTAGACAAAATCATAGTAGCTACCGCATCTTTTGTTGGAACCAATAACAAAATCCGCACGAGCAGATCGTCTGGCAATGAACTGATCCTATCTTCACCTCCACAGGTTATGGCTCTCTTCATAATATATTGTCGTCCCAAGCATATCGAGCCGACCAACCTCTTCATTTTTTTTCTTTTCTTATGTACGTAAGAAAGTTCTGATGATTCTCCTTCTTCGTTTTTATTCTGTTTACATTTTTCTTTTTAATATATCATAAAAATATGTTTGATTAATGTTATGTTTCCATTTTTTTTTTCCATTTGTTTTCTTACCAATTTTATTGCTTCCAATTTTTGCAACTTTACTTTACATCTCTAAAAAATGTAAATCAATCAAACAAAGTAAAAAAAAATACATATATAAACCTTTACATATTCTCTAAATTAATATTTTTAAATTTACATATTTTCAGTTTAAAAAATTCAAAACTCTTCGCTGCGAGGATTTCGATTTAATATATGATTTATCCAATTTTTACAAATTTGACGGTAACGAACACATGTTATAGTGCATATTAGTTTTGACTTTGCAAGATTGATATGCATGATTTGGAGATGATGGATTTAGTTGCAGAAAATGGCGACTTTGAAATTTTTTATTTGCAGAAAACCCTAATTTATATAATACTTAAAAATGATTAAAACCCTAAAATGAATCATGGAGCTCAATTTCCAAAATAACAAGAAAAACAATAAAATAATATAATGAATAATGATTAATGATTCATGGAATTTAACTCTCTTTTTTGTCAAATGAATTTTAGCTCTTTTAATAACTTCTTTTTATTGCAGGTTGATTTCAAGGATATCCCAGCTTTCTTTAAACACTTGAACTAAATTTAAGTTTGTTTCAATTCACTATATAGACTTTGACACCTTGTATCCGTTCCAAATTTCTTTCATTTTCTTAAAAAAGATTTCAAATTCTAATACTACTAATATTTTAACTTATCAATGACAGTATGACCTGTTAAGTTCCTTGATTGTTTAGTTGTTAGTTTGTTTAATCTTTTTGCAAGCCTCATCTTGAATTGTTCCTGGTCTAATTGAAAACAGTTGTTTTACCTTTTTTTTTTGTATAAGGTTAAATTTTATACCAGTTCGTTTTATTTTTCTCCCAAATCTCTTCTATTTTTTACTTTCTGGTTTGTTTTTTGTATATGGGATTACGACCCGTTCTTTTGAGGTGCGCATAATCATCGAATAGAACCAAATTTTATTTTGACGCGATCGGTAACAATACTTTGTAGAGAATCAATTAAACCAAAGCTGAATTTAGTGCAGCTGAAATGAATAAACCTAAATTTAAAGTATACTAATATTAATATAATTTCGTACTCAAACATGCCTTGGATTGTTCAATCATGAGATCTTTGGACATTGCCGATGGTACTCTATGACGTTCCAAAATCAAAGAAGTAGAACTTTTCGCCGACTGATAATCCAAGATTATAACTCGACCATCTCCTAATTCTAGCCTCAAATCTTGGTGCAACATTTCTCTATGAGTTCACACAAATGCTTTAGATTCTCCACCTTCACTTTGTTGACGCTGTTCACCTGTTTCCATCACAAAACATATACATACTTTTGCACCAAAATAGACTCATTTTCGTAAAATTCATAACTAATGATTCTTTGTTAATAATTACCTTCAAATTCTTGAACATGTAGTATTCCACATTGATCACATCAGCTAATACCTACAATAAGAAACAAAAATTCTAACGTTGATACTAAAAAACGACGAAGAAATCAACTTATCCCAATTCCTTTCTAACTACTTACTTAGAGAAGTAATCATTTTCTCGATAAGAATTAAAATAGATGGCTCATTTCACCAATCTTTTTGGGAATATTTATATATAATATATGTATTTAATATTAGAAAAGAAAAGGTACAAACCTCAGAAATAATGACAATTTGTTCAACGTTGGAACCTTTAATGTGTTGTTTACTGACCAATCCCAGGATTTATTTGCTAAAAGTGTTCCAAAAATGTATATATAGATGACTTACTGGCTTTAGAGTAATATTGAACTCATGCATTTTTCCATCTCTTAAAATTTTAAGTAAGATTGTTTCACCAAATTGCTTCATAGAAACCAAATCATCCAACCTTATCCTTTCTCTATTTGGTAAAATAACTGCAACAAATTTACATAAACTCGGCAATAACATCAACACATATGGAGATAAATAAGTAAATATATATAAATGTGTATTACCTGTACCATCATTTTCTATAGCAACGCCATCGATTGCAAGAATAACGTCATATTTTTTAAGAATATTGAGAGCATCCGAATGTTGATTAATATTGTATATAAGAATCCCTGTCATTTCAGAATTCATCTTAAAATGACTACGAAAATGTGCATCCATAGGTTGGTATGATAGATTCAGCGAGCAGAAACCAACGTATCGACCGGATTTTTCAACAATGGTTATAAAATGTTTAACCACTGGAGCTGGGATTAAGTACCTGTTTTGGTGATAACCACGAAAAGTTTTCAGTTAAACATTACACTATAATCACTAGAAAAAGAAAAAAAATCATCCAAAACTTACCCTATGTTATTAGAATGTCTAAGAGTTTGAAATGCTACACCAACAACTTTGTTTCCTATGCAAACCGGACCACCACTATTTCCAGAGTTAATTGCTGCATCTGTTTGTAGTACCGGTAGATTAGTGGCACCTTGAACATAATCTTTTGACTCGATTCTAGACACAACACCTTTTGTAACGGAGATACTCTCACCACCTGCGATTGAATTTTTTGTTAAGAATGTAAATATTCATTAAAAACATCATAGCCTCATAGGAAACTTAAGCTTTAATTAGTTCTCAAATTACCTTTTGGATAGCCAATAACATTTACTGATTGTTGCAAAAAGGGCATGTCTCCAAGCTCCAAAGGATTCATATCTTCCCAAAACTCTTTGCTTTCGATCACCAAAATAGCCAAATCACAGTCATGCCCGATAGCTTTAACTTCTGCTTTGTACTTCTTTGGTGAGCCATGCTTTATGACTAGCACCAATATGTGATTATCCACCACATGAGCGTTTGTAATAATCATCTTACCCGGAATCACAAACCCTAATTAATCAAAACTCCGAAAGATATATACGTCAAAGTAATTAACATACCAATATGTGACTATATATAGCTACTACATGCACATGCTAATATATATACCTGAGCCTATGGATATTTTTTGTGGCTTAGTTTGCCAAGGATAACAAATGTTAGGCTTGCTAGAAAAATTGTAGATCTTCACCACCGAATTCAACACCGACTCATTAGCCACCGAGTCAATAGTTTTCTCAGCCGCAACGGAAGGAGGAAGAAAGTGAAATAAAGAAGCAAAATCGCTTAAAACTCCGGTGAAAATTCTGTTGGTTCGTAGTAATCGGACTAAATTGATCCGGCCACGAATTGACCAGAACGACATTATGAAAAAATTGTCGAGATATTATTAATTCTTTAGGCATTCTTATAGAGAGAGATATATATTTTTGTTTCCATTCCTATATATACTTTCCCTTGCATTAAATTTACTTACCATGCATTATTATGATTTAATTACGCTTCTCAATAAGGGAACTTCCTTCTTAGTTTTTTTTTTTTTTTTTTTTTTTTATTTTTTTTTTATTTTTTTTTTACGTCTAGATTTATTATTTATTGCAAATGATGAGAACTGTTATATATATAAACGATTCTACAACGGACTATTCCGTTCCGACCCTTATTAGATCCACGACAGACGACACTTCCTTCTCCATGCTCTTGACGGACACCTTCAATGATCCACGACCTGACGACACTTCTCTCTCTGCGTAGAATCCTGGCGAACGGCTATAATTGTACTTTGTTGTAGATCTCCTGCACACTTGCCTCACTTAATCTGCAAATTTATTAATAAATCGGAATATCTGGGACTCGAACCCCAGACCTCTTGGTGTAGAAGCATTAATTAACCCTTGATCAAACAATGGGCCAAGGGGGCTTCCACTAGTTTATACTATTAAATTTTAATGAAATATTTGATATTCAAAATCGGTTTATTGTAATTCGGTAGAAAATTTATCTACCGTGAAATTCGAATTCCATGTTGATGAATTTCGGGTTGCTTCGAATATGTGTGTTTCTATCCCTAATCTCTAGCTCATCTACAAGGTCTTTTGATGCATATAACTTCTCTAATGGTTCATTCAATAGAATCATTTAGATAAGTTAAGATGTCTTTTGTTCTCTCATTTCATCATCTCCTTTAACACAAAGGTTACAGCTTTAACTCACAAACATGAACTTATCTCAATCTACCCTCTGAAACTACAAGAAAGAATATCTATGACCTCGAGTTTTTTCTGATTGGTCGTGCCATGCATACTGAATTCTTCGATAATTACAAGAGACTGGTGTAATCATGGATACCGGCGTTGTTTTTTTTCACTGGCGATGACCTTCTGGTAAAGCTACCACTTTGTGGAAAGGTACTGTTCTTTGAGGCAATGCTCCATTTTCCTCATCGTCGTCGAATTCAAGCAAGTACCTAATCAGAAAAACAGTCCTGTTATATGATATATAGATGAACAATAGCCCATTTCCAAGAGGATAGTCAAGTATTTAGACTACATAATTCAGGACAAAGAAAACAGATAAAGGTTGAAGAACTTACTCGTCAGACTTCCTCTGATGTTGGAGGAATCGGCATGTCCATGGTCAATAGCTCGAGGTTAGTGTTTATTTCAGACAGTAAGACAGTTTTTAAGCAAATGGTTGTGACAAAAAACTAACCTTTCGTGGGGTGCTTACTACAGTTGCTTTGTAGAGTGCTGTTGTCCCGGGATATACAGCTAAGACGTATTTACCCGTTGAAAACTCTTGGGTGTTCGAAGGATCGTTTCGTTTGGGAAATGGTAAAATGCATGACATTGGCAACTTATAGGTCCTACAGATTCCAAAAGAATAAATCTCAGTATACTTCCCAACGCTAATTCACAACTCAAAGTTTTACCTCTGACCGCTTCCTTCTTCATCATCTCCTGGTTCTTCATCAAGTACTTCAACTCTGTGATAAAAAAAGTTTAAACATATTTAGACTCATAAATGAAGCCTTTGCACTTAACAACAACAACTTTTTTTGTGTGTGTTAGCAACAAATTCGGTTTCAGCTACTAAACTACCGGAGCGAATCGACCTTTCTCAGAACTGTTTCTTAGCAAACAATCAGTTTCAGCGTCCATGCCATATCTCATGGATGAAAGCATTTTCAAAACAGACAAAGAACTTAAAGGCCATAATCTATTGAGCTTCAGATATGCAGATATTCATACAAAGAGCATATCATCAAGCCATTGGCAAATGACAACTAATCTATACAGAAGAAAGGTTCAAAAGCTTACTCTTTTGTTTCTCTATCGAAGTGAATTACTTTAACCACAAACCATTCATCCTTATCAGCACTCTCTGCAGTAACTCTTGCAGCAACCTGCATAAATCAGACATTGTGAGCATGGAACTGATCGAAATAACGAAAGCAGGTGCATTATAAGATTACCTGTTCACCCTTCAGACTTGCATATGCTTCGATTTGATTTCTCATGGAAGGAGAAAGTCTTATTACATCTGAATCAACTTTCATCCTCTTCCTCTTCTGATCATTGCCTTCTGCCACTTATGTGATTATCATTACAAGCAGCACATAAGTGATAAGTCTTGCCGGAGAATAACATTACAGTTCAATGAAAGTAACTTGTGTGTACCTCCTAATTTTCTTCTTTGCTGCCCTGTTGGTCCATATGGAAGCAGCAAATCCAATTGAGTAAGCAAAATGTTCGATACGCTGCGCGTTAAACACAAAGCCAAAAGATCATTAGTCCATAATCCATTCAAAGTCTCTAACTTTTTCATTCACCATTGTAACAAGTATAAAGAAGAAATGGCTTACGTTACTTCATTTTCGGAGAGCTCTTTTGCTTGAATGTACAAATTCTTAAGCTTTGCCAATGAAATATCACCAGGCTTCTCAACTATCTCAGGAGCTGCATCAATACATAATCAACAAAGCTTACATGATTTTGATTACATATTTAGAAGAATCTAAATGGCATTGTATAATCACTAATCTTAGATTAATTTCTCTAATTACTTCATGATCCAAAATCCAAACTTTCACTGATAATATAACTAATAAACACACAAAAGAATTTCCCCCAAAAAACACAAATTTGTTAGAACAGAATTTAGAAATTACTAAAATTGTTGGAGAATTAAGTTAAATAGAAACACTTACAAGCTTGAAGCTTTTTATGCATCTTATTGATCTCAACCAAAACTTCTTCTTGTTCTTTCCTTAACCGATCAAGTTCCTTCGTGTTTTCCAGAATTCCGACAATGTCTGGTGACGACATTACCAAAAAATCGTTTTTACGAACAAAAACAAAATATGGTAAGAAAAAGAAAATAAATCTAAATTAGATTGTTCGAAAGAATCACACGATTCACGAAGTTTCAATCTTTGCAACTGGTAAATCCAACAAAATAAAGGTTAGATTTTTCAGTTCTCAGATTTTTCCTTAATAAAAGGATTTCAAGTTGTTTCTTCGAGTGAAAAAGGGAATGTGATTCGTAGGTCAAGAACGATACGACGTCGTTTCGGGACGAAGAGTCATTTATTGGATAAAAAGCCCATAAAGGCAAAGTGTTAAACTTTAAACCTTATATAATTTTTTTGAGTTTAACAATTTGTCATTTGTTGTATAATCCTGATGAACATATTTAAGTTTTTTTTTTGGGTATTAATTGGAAATTCAAGGAATAATTTTAGAAGATTGCACAATAAACACCTCTACATATACTACAAAGATCATGATAAATAGGTTTACCTGCATCGATGCTCCATTTTGAGGTGTGGAGAGTGTGCCAAGGCAAAGGACCCATAATTTTCCTTACTCAATAAAAGCACTAGTTTTTTTCTTTCTAAGATTTATAGAAACAGGCAGCTGAAAATATAAAACTAGGGTTTAATATAAAAAAAAAGATGATAAAGTTGATTAATAGGATTGTTGAAAATAAAAACAAGTATGGGCTTGTTTTTAAGTTTAGCATAAAGTCCAGATAAAATATAAGTCGAATATAATTTTGTATCACATTCACAAATCACAATAGATATTTTTACCTTAATATATATGACCATGATGAATGACTTTATATGATCTATGGTAAATTTTATTCCATTAATCTGCATAATTCTTAATTATGTGGACTATATCCAAAGTGTAACTATGATATTTAATTAATAGGTTTATTTTCGTTTGTGTTCATGTTTTCAGTTTGTATTTTTTTTTCCTAGTAAATCTATATGGTCATGAAATGCCTATTAATTAAGAATCATAGTTACACTTTTGATATAGTCCATAATGACATTAATGAGAAGGTAGACGTCAAACGAAAAGACAAATCAGTCACTTAAAAATTGGTTCTTCTTGGGCCTAAAATAAATTTAACAACGAGAAGGGATCATCAAAAATGTGTCAAAAGTAGAAGAAATGTGTAGAGTAGAGGAAGAAGAAGAGAAAGAAATGTTCTTTAATCTTTTTGTTTGGGGATTATTACCAAATGATTTAATGACGTCTCTTTGCGATGATGAGATTCTAAAATTTTAGCCTTTAGATACAAAGTATAGTGTTGAGTTTTTTTATTGTTCGTTTTTGTTAATTGTGTCCAGCTAAAATGTAATTTGTTGCCAATAAAAGTATGTAATTTGCATTTCTTCTCTTTTTGAGTTTTTTAGACCGGTTATAAAATTGGTCTTGAAAACTTTGTTTTTGATTACTTAAGGATCTTGAGTTGGTTATATAGCTTATCAACTTCAATTCCCTTCAAGATTAGAATTTTCAAAAACCAAACAAAAATGAGCTGAAGAATGTGTTTCAAAAAATAGTGTCAAAGATGGGAAATGGATAAGATACAATTTCTTGAACAATATTGTAGTAAAAATTGTTAAAGTACTTAAACTGCTTGAGTTAGCAACAAGGTCGTTGTAGTATAGTGGTAAGTATTCCCGCCTGTCACGCGGGTGACCCGGGTTCGATCCCCGGCAACGGCGATTTTTTCTCTTTTTTTTTTTGGAATTTTAAGCTAAAACATTTTTAACTTCCGGTTCTTAGAATAATTCAGAATCGTCAACCAAAGGAAACTTCTTTACATTATTAACTCATAACAATAACTCTAGCCATTGTCATTCAAATTATTCATTACATTTTCAAACCACTTTCTCTCATTTTTCACTTTGTAACAAAATAAATCAAATATTAGCAGCAGAAGAAGAAGAAGAAGCTTCCTCTAACTTCTTTCTGCGGCGAGTTTGCATCCGTAGGAATCTGATCTTTGTCTCTAACAGCCATCAATGAGCAAGTTCCCGGCGATTCTGGTGGCAATACTGTGTTTTCCGACGAGAATACACGTTTAATGGACGGAGGAACAAGCTCAGTTGCTGAGATTGTGGAGAGACAACGTAGAAGCATTTGAATTATCTCTGTGAAGTTTGGTCGATCATTTGGATCCTCTTTCCAGCAAGATGTTACGATCATTGCTAAATCCTTGGGTAAATCGTCTGCGCTTGGCCTCACGTTCTAACAGGAAATATTAAAGCAGACAACTATCAGAAAAACTTTGGTATTTCGGTTGGAAATCAAGAATCAAACGGTTTGAAAATCAAGAAACAAAATGGTTCGGATCAAGAACTGTTGAAAATCAAGACTCAAAACGGTTGAAAAGCAAATGATTGAATTAAAAACCAAGAACCAAATGGTTGTAAATCAAGTACCAAAATTTGGAATCAAGAATCAAACGGTTGACAATCAAGAACTAAAAGGTAGAAATGATTCTAGTACTGTTGAAAATCAAGAATTAAACGGTTGAAATCAATAAAAAAACGTTTGAATATCAAGGTTCAAACTTTGAAATCAAGAACAAATGGTTGAAACTTGAAAATCAATAATCAAACCTTGAATGCAGCAGCGTAAGCAGCTTGGAGATTTGACATGCCTTCAAAAGGTAACTTGTTGTGGATAAGCTCCCACAAGACGATGGCGAAGCTGTATGCATCTACCTTATGGTTATAGTGTTTTTTCTCGCCATGCCTCAACGTGACCGTACTGTAAAGCTGTTTAACCATAATTTGAGATTAAACAAGTCAAAAGAAGAATGCAGAACACAGAAAATGATTTCATCTGTGTATAGTACCTCGGGAGCCATCCAACGATATGTACCAGTTTCTGCAGTCATCATCTCGGTAAGTAGAACAAGTGTTCCCGGACAAAAATAGGATTTTGCATCCCTTTGCTAATTACCTCAAAATCTTGATTTAGATTTCTTTGTGTAGACATCACATATATTGAAGTTGTGCCCTCTTAGGCCATCTACAATGGAGCAACTGATCTTAAAGTTATTATAATAATATTATATATATATATAATGATATTATATGAGGAGGTAAGAGAGAGACAGAGAGAAATGCTCAAAATCAGTTCAAGATCAGATCCAGCTCAAGATGAGATCTTGCTCAAATGCTCTACTGTTGGAGTTTTTTCTATTTTTTTATTACTCAAAATCACCCCAGCAGTTGTGCCACTGCAGATGGCCTTAGAGCCTAATGGCTTGTTTTGGGCTGGTCTCTTGAATGGTCTAATATGCCCGATGTTTATGATTCTATCAAAAGCTATAACGTATAAGGAATCAACTAATGGCTTAAGAAGTTGCCCTTGAGAGCTTAGTAGAACAAGTGTTCCCGATGTAACTAGAAGTACCCGTGGATCGAGAGGTGCTGATTTGAACAGAAGATCCTCACAAAATTTTGAGCAAACCAAGTGAAGAGAAGATAGCTACAAACGGAGATTGGAAGCTGAGATATTTTAGATCAATATGGTTCTGGGGAGTTGATCATATGTATATGAGTAGGGATTATGTCATACACAAGTGTCTTGTTCACAAAAAATGAGAGACTGATGTGTGATCTTTAAGAATAGTTAGGCTAGTGATTCACTGTTACAGATTAAGGTGTTCCAATCTTGTGTAATTCGAAGTAGTTGTGCACGGTGCACTTATTTTTTGGTTGAATGACAAATCAAAAAATACAGTTGTAGGGAAAAGGGACTCATCACACCATTCATGACCAAAAATTTGAATATCTCTAAACCAACACTATCCCAGCTAAAATAAGATTTGTTTTAAACACTTCAAAGACCAATGTGATTGATTTCCTCTTACAAAATTTCATAAACAAAGGGTTCGGATCAATATGCTAAAATGCTACAACATTGGCACTACTCTCTGTAATCTTCCATCATAAACAGTGAAGAACATAAATAGTATTCTGTGTAATCTTCCATCGTAAACTCATCATCGACGTTTGTATAAACATGCTTTCAACTCAGGCCACTTTATTATCTTCTGATTTGAATTCACCTGCTCCTATATAATTACACCATTCAAAGAAGGAAAGGATTATTGCTGATAAAGTGTAGATCTAAACTCTGGAGTCTGGACTAACCAAAACCTAATGGAAGTATACTTCACTAACCTTTTTTTTGAAATGGAATAGGATGAACATCTTATTCGAGAAGTCCTGCGCAAAGAACCAAATGAGTTTCTTTCATATAGTGGAAATATAAAAAAGATGATTATAGAGACAAAAGATTTTTACCTTTAAAACCGAAGTAAATCCAAGATCACAAACTGCTTTCACAAAGTCTTTAGGGTCTGCTCCTCCATTGTTTGGATCAAACCTGCTCTTAACTTCCGCTATAAGAAGCATACCACTGTTGAATACACCCAAGGAATTGTTATTCAGAATCATGACAAAAACCCACGAAGAAGAAGAGACTGGCAAGTAAACAAAGCTGTACCTTGGACGAAGAACTCGATGTGCCTCTTTAATATAACTAGAATAGTTTGTTCCCATTAATGAAAGACAGAAAACAGTAACATCCACCGATGAAGACTCAAGTGAAGTCTACAAAGTAAACCCCAAAAATACCTGTTAAGTCTGAAATCACGAAAGTAACATGAATGGAGTAAAGATTCGACGTACATTTGACATATCGCAGGCAATAACAGAGGGGTTCTTTGAGACAAGATCAAAGGAGAAAACTTTGTTCTTCACACTTTTAGCAATCCTTGCATCACCTGAGCCAATTTCCATACCGTTAACGCGATTTCAGCAGGTAAAACTAAAACACAGCAATACAGGAGAAGAAAATCTCACCACAGCCGAAATCAGCCACAACTAAAGAAGAGCTCTTAGACAATAGCCAATTAATAATGGAGTTAACAGGAAGCTCAGGCCAATTTGACATTTGTTGTTGATACCCTGTATGATACTGAAACAAAACAGAATCATCAAAATTTCCTAACTTAACTAAAGAATCAACATAGATTGTTGTTCTTGAGCTAATGTGTGTTTACCATATCAAACATTTCTGGATCTTCTTTAAAGTAATCTAATGCTTCTTTTCCACTGAGAGAAAACAGAGATTATTGAATCAAGCACTGAAGAAAAGTCACCAGAAAAATGAGATTAAAACTTACGAGCAAGTGTAGAGTTTCTCATTGAGCATTCTAAATTGCCCACCAGATAATCTCTCTCGAAGCTGCGATTTTTCCGGTATAAATTGATCAAAATCTCCACAAACGTCAATCAAATCGAATCAAAAGAGAGAGAGAACAAACCGCATCGAGGAAATTGGAAGATTTAGGTCGTTTCGATGAAGCTGAAGAACCTCCATGTTGCTGAACTTTGGTATCTCTCTGACTCTTTTTGTTGTTTTGGTTCTTTGGTGTCGTCTCGATAAGCTCTTCTTTAGATGGTTTAGGGTTTCTTTGTCTCTTCCTCTTCCTATTTTTGCTTGTTGTACTTTCCTCAGTCGTCATTGCTCTCGCCGTCGCCGTCGCCGTCGCCGTCGTCTTCAACACTCTCTCTGTTTAGGTTAGTTTCAGAAGTAGAAGAAGGATAAGTTTGTTATCTTTTGGGCCATAAACTTAAAAGTCCATTGGGCTTTTTTTTGGATTGACCTAATAAGCCGGTTTACTCAAAAAATTAATAAAATCTTCAAACCTGGTTTAAGTTTTTGGTAACACCTTCAGAGACAACACCAAACAGACCAAAATCGACCAAAATCTTAGAACCCGGTTTAAATTTCTTTGTCTCTTCCTATTTCTTCTGATATTCAGAGAAGTCGATTCCAATTCCTTGAAGAAGATGGCAATGGATGATAATTCAGTTTTCTTCAAGACTGATTGTGCTTCTATACTTTCACAGATTAAGGATCATGATAAGCAGATTCGTCTCAAAAGAAGGTCTCTTCTTCTTCTTCCACTTCTCTCCTTTTGGTTTATATGTGTGTGTGTGTGAATTTGGACGGTCGAATTTGGACTATAGTTGTAACTTAGTTATAGGAAACGATTGCTTTGATCTCGAATCAGCCTTATTAGGGCTTTGTGAAAGTTTCAACCTTTATTGTTTCTCCAAAAAAAAGTTTCAGACTTTTGTTTTGTCTGTGACTTTTACAACCTTGTAGGTGGCTGTTGGGTTGTGAGATGTCTGAATCCAAGGACCATACTCCGGGAAAGACTGAGTGAGTTCATTACTGAGTTTCCATTTGGTTTAGCTGATTTTATGATATGACTATGAACTCTTGTTCTTTGTTTTCTTTGTAAACCAGATTCGTCCCTGAATCTTTGCTCAGGGAAGATGATGTATGTCTCTCTTACTTACATTCTCTTTATATGAGTGTTCAGAGTTTTTTCAATGAGATCTCTTTTGTGATTCCAGGTATTCTACGAGACCATAAAGTCGCGTGTAGAAGAGGCATTTGGATTTTGCAAGAATGAACAAGTACTATGTAATGATGTTCAACAAAAGGAGTTAAAGTTCTGCAATCTCGAACTTGTTAGAAAGCTTGATTCTTTGACGAATAAAGGTCTTTATCTTATTGCAATGATACTCACAGGAGGCTCTACTTCGTTTGACAAGACTCGATGGAAAATGAAAGAGATTATCAGAGATTCTGTCAGTAGAGACTTTGGAAAGAATAAAGACGGTATTGGTAAAGAAGACATTATTAATCAGCTGCATCAAGTTCTTAGTGATCCCGCAAATTTCCGGGAAGATTGCAGGATGAATTTGGGGAGAACACCTACTCTGCATTCCCATCGTGATGCTGCAATGAAGATACTTAATGAGCTAGATGGTTTGTCGACTCAGACCCTACGTGCGATGAAAAGGAAACTTAAAGGTTCAAGAATGATACCTCAACTGAAAACAAGTAGATTTGGTCAGAGTCGAAGTGATCTGATTAACCAAGTGAGGCAAGCTAGCGAGAAGATGCTCTCAGAACTTTCTGCAGGGGGTAAACTGCAGGAGCAATTGGCTAAAGCGTTGTCAGTAGTAGATTTATCACTTAAGCTAAGTCCTGGCTACAAAACTGCTGCTGCCACAGAATTTTTTCGGTTCTCGCCAGAAACAAAGAACTTGCAGAACGAGATAGTGAAGGCAGTATGGTTACTCCGTAAGGTCAGGTTTCGTGAGCTAAAAAGATTGCATCTTTGTTTAGACCCAGAAGCTGAAGTGTCTAATGACAGCTTAAGATCAGCAGTCAGAAAAATGTTGATTGAATATCTGTTTGAGTGCAGTGATATGGACACCATTCCAAAGTCTTTAATGGAAGCTCTTTCATTGGTCAACAGGAGGACGCGGAATGTAGAGCACAAGGTATGTCCAAGGGAAGCAATTGATGAAGAGACAGAGTGTATATTAAATGTGAGTGCTCAAGTGAAGCAAATATGTTGCCAATGTACTCCAAATTATGAACTCGATCAAGACTTTGGTGATGCTTATATGGAGGAGCTAGAAGACAGTGATGATAATGATAATGATGATGGTGGGGATTGTAGATTATTTGATAATGAGAAATTTGTTAATGAAGAGAGTAGATGCCGAAACATAAAGCTTGAAGTGAAAAACTCTCAAGGCGATGCAATGGAGTCCTCTGATTCGGATCATGAAGAAAGTGGTGCTGAATGCTTGGTTTTGGACCCAACTGATTCTACACACACAACCAACCAGCATGATATCAGCTCTTCTGTCAATAAGGTAGTTGTAAGAGACCTGCCAGAGAGTATTACAAGAGTTCATCCTAGGTCTCTCTATGTCACTCCCACGTCCAATAAATCAACAGTTATCAGTGATAGACATGACATTGGTACGAGCAAAACCCGAGTCAAGGTTGAGAGGGATATTGAGATGGAAGTAGATAACCAATTTAGCTCTCGGTCATTGTTTTCTGTTGAAAACATAAAGTCTGATGATCATGGTGAGCAGAAGCCACAAAGAAGACATAAAAACCAGTACCTCGCAGTCCAAGAAATTTCTGATGAGACAAGCTTGGTTGCACATAACCTAATCGGCCGCTTGCTAGAGAAATTTGCAGACCGTCAAGGTCTAAACTTAGAAACGGATGAACGTTCATATCTTAGAGGCGAATCCAGGCTTCAAGAAGATGTAGAAGGTGAGGATAAAAGCGTTTTTAATCTTGTACAGAGTCATTCTACCTGTGTTATGAACTAATTGAGACATCCTAAGTTTGCACCTCTCACTTTACAGCTTTTTTTTTGCTGGTAAAAAAGCTATATGATCCTTGAGACATCGCCTCGTTTTCCCGAGAGCCATCTTCTTACTGAAATTACCCTTGTGTGTAGCAGTGAATGGAGAAAAGCAAGCTTCATCTCAAGCGAAGTCAGATGAGTTGATCATTGTTTCTGTTATCAAAGAGCAAATGCCTTCCCTTGAAGAGAGGTACACATTTATTTGCATTTGTTTTCGTTTTTGTTATGGAAGTTTCATGTTGCCTGGTAAGCGCGAGTATAATCTCTAATTACTGGATATCTGATTTTCACAGTGTCTTGATGAGATTAAAAGAGTTGATGGAAGTAAGTTAGCATCAGCAAAGTTATAATATTTCCTACCAAAGTGAAGTAGCAATGGAATGAAGAGAGAAACAACAAAGGATATTGAGATGAACACAACAACGAATACAATTTTGCATCACATTGTATTGATTTTTACTTGATTCTCAAACACCTGGCTTATGTAAGAAGAACTTAAAGTGATCTTATTTTTTTCTTTATATGAAAGGTGATCTTTGCCGTACACTGAACAACAAACATTGATCGTCAGCATAGTTGTCCCTGATCAAACGAAGGTTGTTGGTGCAAGGACGAGGTGGTCTTTCTTGTGCATAGTGAGTAACTGAGTCTCACGAGAATGGTTCTAGTCTTCTAGAAAGCATCATCATTCTACGATTCCACGGATCAATTGTAAACGGTAAAATAACAGACATGAATTGTGTTACAATATATCGACAAGAACCACTTTCAAACATTAGGCAAATCCAAACCAAAATAATAAACCAAATCAAAGTTTTGTTAATGCACCAAAGTGAGAGAGCTTAGGCCAATCACAAAAGTTATGGCCATTACAACAAAAACACAATGTGAGAAGATAGCAAGGCAAAAAAACGCTCACAGAAACCAGAGAGTTTATATGTTTCTTTCTTTAATTGTAGAATCACAGACAAAAACATAATTCTTCGGTTCTGTTTTGTGGTGGAATCAATGGATGTATTCATTTTCTATTGTCTCGTGGCAATCTCCAAGAAGAAACTTCTATTGGTAAGTAAGTAAGGTTAGGTTCTTACCGTGACCTCTTGAAAAAGGTGCAAGCCACGGCTATAGTTGCAATGGCTCCAACCACAGCGGCTCCAATGTAAAACTCGTCTTTGTCAAGAGGCTGGAACCATATGGTACATTTTTTTCCTTCTTTCTTAATTGGCTCTGGCTTTGGGGTTTCGTCTTGGCAACACGAAACACCATTTGATCCTTGACAACATCCTCCTGTGAACCCTTTGCTCTCCTCTTTCACTACATCGTTACCGTTTGGTATCACTTTCTGTTCATGCAATTTCTCAGCTTCACCTCCAGGTAGTCCCATCTGGCCCCTGAAACAAAACTCACTTATTTAAGTCCAAGTAAACTTTATCTATCACCATAACTTATCTACATATTTATCACATAGACATATATGTAGACAAGCTAGAAAACGAGTGTGGAACCTATACCTCCAAATCCTTTGTATGATTTCTCCTTTTGCAATATGTTGGTCAAGCAATTCAGGTACATCATCAGGAGTTACATAGCCATACCTGCATTTAAACCAGCACGGTTACTCGAACAATGCCATAAACTATATCATTTTCTTATGATCCAACCATTTACTTACCAATTGCCAGTAATCTTTCCAGCTGAATCAGGACTGAAGATAATCAAATTACCAGCATACTTGTGCTGTCCAACGTGAGAACATCGTTTCAGCGTAATCTGGTCCGAGAGTCCACGAGAACCTATCTCCTGCTTGAACCTCTCTAAGATGACTGGTCCACAAACACCACATCTCTTGTCTCGACTAGCATGAGTACACACAAATACAAATGTTCCAGATATCTCTTCTTGTATCCCAGAACTCCATGGCTTCCCATTCACAAGAACATCTTCAAAAAACCCTTCCACATCCGTATCCTTAACCCCCCTATATATAGTCAACACCAACAAATATATATATATATATATATAAATCACAAAATTTAAATCTCTAGAATTTAATTTATGCAAATTTGGATCTCATAAATCTGAGCAATACATTAAGTTCTATAATCGAATTCCTAAAGTTTCTAAAAATAGCTTATACAACAATCTACACTCTAGAAATCTAACTAAGAGTCAATCATGTTCTTGTCACCTATAATTTTACAAAAACCTTCTATGAGAACATCGTCACCGACAAGTTCATTGTCATCGACAACCCATGATTGACGAGATCATCCTACATCGGTTTTCGATATCGATTTATTGAAATTCGAAACGGTTACTAACCGGTAAAAATTTGCTAAAACACTAAACTAACTAAATACTACTCAACAAGAAACACGTAGAGGCACTCACTTGTATCTGATCATATCCGGAAAGATCAACACATCACCATCAGATCCACCACCTTCACATACATTAAGCTTCGTCTACAACAACAAAAAAGACACCAAAAAATAAGTCAACACGTAATGGCTTAAGAAGAATCTTTCATCAGAAGAAAGAGATACACCGTACGTGAAAACATGTTCAACGTTTTTGTATACCTGAACAAGAAGATCAGATTTTCGATCTTTAAGCAACGTAGCGAAACGTTGAGGTAAACCTTCTTCTTCAACATGTGAGAGCCAAGCTTCAGGAGTCTTATAAAGAACAAAAACATGACGATCATAAGATGTTATAGAATTGGCGATGTTTGTGCTGTACATCTCCGGCCGTTTAAAGCCATACTCGGTGTCTTCCGACGCCGGAACAGAGTTCAGATTCTCGACTTCCGCCATTGACAAGTTAGCAAATCGAGAGAGAAAGAGAGTTTTGACTTTTGAGGAAATGGAAGTAATCAAAATTGGAGAAAGAGTGCAAAATATTCATATTTTCTTAACATTATGCAAACACGTCGTGAGGCGTCCACACGAATGTGACAAGGCGGTGACGCAAATTAAGCTCACAGTCGAGATGTCTACAAATCTACTTGACCGTGTTGTTGTCTTTTGATGACAGACAGTAGTTTTAGTTAAATCAAGCCACGTTGGTCAGCTAAATTGTATAATTATGGGAGAAATTAGACGTATTAAATTCTTGTTTATTAGAGAAGCTAAAACCATAAGGCATAAGATCAAGAATTTACGCATGTGGCTTGAATTCTTAGCTATATACATTTCCTTAACCAGGTAGTTTAACGAAGTCGTCGATTTAATTGTTTCTTTACAAAAAATGAACTTTGAGGTGTTGAATGTTAAAATCAATTTTTTTATTAAGCTACTACTTTATATCTTTTTTTTCAAGTTTTTGTTCTAAAACAGGATTCCTTCCGTCTTTGTAACAGTTCTCATAATTTGTAATAATAATAAATGCAGACGACAAAAAAAAAAAAACAGGATTCCTTCGTTTAATGTAGACATGTCAAAAGTATACTAAAAAACTATTTTTTAAGCATTTATTATTTCTAATTGAATATATAACATAATCAATTAATGAACAAACGTGAAATTTCGACTCAAATGTAATGGATTAATTCCCATCTTCAAAATGTAAACCCACGAATATGTGGTGTACCAGTTTTTTTTTTGGGTATGAAAGTTCAGTTTTATACCATTTTAAGATTTTTGACAATGATACATGAGAAAAAGAGAAAGACCAAAAGCTATACAACAAGAAATTTACAGCAAAAACGAAAGCTGAGCAAGGACATTACGACGAAGAAACGAGCACAAATTGGTCTCGGAGTTGCCACGAGCGTCCGCCAACTAGGCCAGTCCTCAAAACCTTAGTTCGGTATGCTTACAGCTTCTCCTCGAGCAACCCACACTCTCACACTGAAGACAAGTAAAACATCAGAGATTGAAAGGACACCGCCAGTGGAGACCCTGCATCATCCTAGCAACCTTTTTTCTAGAACCAAGCTCCAAGCTGCTAAAATGAGACCCGTCGACAAAGCTTTTCTCACCCGAGACCAGCACCACAAAACAAGAAAATTGCAACAACAAAACCAGAAAACAAAAGCGAAAATGGAGCAAGGACTAAATGACGAAATGAGCACAAATTGGTCTCGGAGTTGCCACGAGCATCCGCGAACTAGGCCAGTCCTTTTAGCAGTTATCACCAAAATATTTCTATAAGTAACTATTTTTCATTATGTGAAACGATTAAGAAAAGTACAAGATCCTTGATTGAAAATTCACAAGAATTCATGGATACAATGAAAATCTCTAGACCAAACTTTTTGGCTAAATAAAAGATCAAGAGTTTTGGAGTAAATTGTCGAAGTAAAGGTTTAAAACGTATCTAGCGGCGGAGAGAACATCGAGCCGCCTCTCACTCGGCTCGTACTTGCCTTTCCGGAGCTGATACCGATGAGTCACCGCAGAGATTGTGTATGTTTGCCCTTCGATCATAACATTCTCTCCACATTGAAGGTTCTGCAAACCAAAAAGCTTTTCATCAAACTCATCAATTTGACAAATATTCAAAGCTCTAAGTGGATATATGAGAGTACTCACATGAGGAAGGCAACGAATGCCGAGAGATTTAGGAGGAGGAGTGATTTCAATAACTTTGTAAGGAGGATAATTGCTCTGATCTCTTCCTTTCTCCTTCTTTCTGCAGTTTATCTCCAACCTCCCTCCTACCTGCAAAATCCACTCTTTATACCAATTCTTTGGGGAGAAAAATCAAAACACGGATTTGCAATTGAATTAGATCTAAAAATCGTTACTTTTCCGACACAAACGACATTCGATGCAAGTGTTGCCATTTCCACAAGTCAGATTATCAAACCCAGAACCAAATAAGAAAATAATGCTGTTGATATGAAACAGAGATAAGAAAAGGAGCCAGAGAGAACCAAAAAGATGAAGATGAAGATGAGATTTTCTCGATTTACTTAGAAAACCCAGTTAAAATTATTCTTTAAATTGTGAAATGGTACACGAAACAGAGACGAATCAGAGAATAGAGACAGATGATTGACCACCAGATATTTTTGTAGGTCTATTTGTGGCTCTCACTTAAGGGAGAAGAACAAGACAATCAAACCTTCGGATGTACACAGAGGCTTCTCAATAAAAATATGGATATTTTGATACAGACAAGACAAGAGTAATAAGATTTGAGTCAAAACTCAAAAGCGTTGATACAAGCTAACTCTAAAGTTGCCACAAGAATTCTAAGCAAAATAATAATCTGGCATTGTAACGCCGAGATAATTATATCTAAAAATGTATTGATTAAAACTACTCAGGGGAATCAAAGCCCTAAAAGCCTCCTCTCTCAGAATACAATGACTAGCTATCAATCTTGATAACCATACATGAAACTAAGCATGACACAACAAGTAAGAAGAAGAAGATTCAAGCTTTTATTGAACTCTCTACCTTCCATAAGGATGGTACCGTCCACTGCCGCCTCCATATCCACCTCTACTTCCTCCTCCTCCTCCATAAAATGAGCCTCCACCGTTTCCGCCACCACCAGCACCGTATCCTCCTGCGCCTCCACCTCCAACTCCACCCATATCATAGCCACCACCTCCTCTATAGCCTCCGCCACCAGCACCACCATACCCACCAATGCCGCTACTGCCATATCCACCTCCATAACTGCCACTTGGTCCACCGTAACCACCTCCAGGTTCACCGTATGGCCCACCATACATATCACCCGGCCCACCACCGTACCCTCCGCCTCCTCCCATGCCATAACCACCTCTGTTGTAACCACCGCCGCCTCCTCCTCCATAACGACCAGAATATCCAAGTGCTGGTTCTCCTCTATAAGGTCCCACGCCACCACCATATCCACCACCACCATACCCGCCGAATTCTCCTCCGTACCCTCCATAACCACCAGACCGGCCACCTCCATAACCGCCACCACCTGATTTGTAAGGACCACCTGGACCACCATAACCATCTCCATAACCATCTCCATAACCATCTCCATAACCTCCACCAAAGTTAGAGCGAGAATCACCAAACCGCTTTGACGGGGTTGTAACTGAGTTTGGTTTTTTTGGCTCCGCCTTCTTTATCTCTACCTATACGAGAAACCATAGACAATTCAGTAAAGTAACAGGGCAGATGCGACTGTACTGATTATAGCTACAAAGTCTTATAATCTTAAGACTATCTGTAAGAGCGTGCAGTTACCTGAGTCCCTGAGAGCTCAATTCTGTTCCCTTTTGCCAAGAGATGATCAACCATATCTTCACTTTCATATGTAACAAACCCAAAGCCACGTGATCTTCCAGTTGAGTGATCACGCATAATCTGATGTTCCTTCAGCTCTCCAAATTGCATAAAGAATTCCTTGAACTCATCTATACAAACACCAATCACCAGATGAGACACCTGGTAAATAAAAACATGATTCTGAAATCATATGATACAGATATGGGATAGTATGGAAGAGTGTTTACCATCATCTACAGAAGCAGGAATTCCACCAACAAATATCTTTTTAGTTTTGAAATCGTTAGAGCTCATGGATCCTCTTGGTATCGTCCGCTTAATTTCAACCTGAAGAGCCATAAGAAAAAGTGAATGTTATCACATTGCAAGCCACAACACAACTTACCCACTTAAGATGTAAGGCACAGCTCAAACTAACCTGCTTGCCAATTATAATGTGATTGTCTTGGATAACTTTGTCGACCACAGAGGAATCAGCATATGTCACAAACCCAAATCCTCGGGGCTGTCCAGTTTTCCTATCCTTCATAATCACAGAATCAGTGATCTCTCCATATTTCCCAAAATGCTTGAGGAATTCAGCTGCATAAGCAAATCAAAAGCCAGAGTTAAAAAAGAATTGAACTTTACACAATAACGAGAACGCTAACCTCTGACAATGTGGCAACCAAGACTCAAGAGCTAACCTGAAGTTGTCTCCCTGGCTAAACCTCCAACAAATATCTTTCTACAAATTCCACAAAACATCGTATAAGTACACTAATCACTAAGTATTAAGAAACCAGAGAAGAGCACTAATCTTATCCTTCTCCAACAAGTTCGAATCTTTATACTTTCTATCTCAATTTTCACAGAGCTAAGAGAAAAAGATGAGTAATTTAGAAAACCCTAGAAGAATCGAAATATAAAGCTTCTTCCTTTATCACAATCTTCTTGAAATAAAGACCCAAACCCTAATTCCTGAATCTAGAATCTTTTAAGAAGAAAGTGAGGAAACGTACCCAGCACTATCGACGCCACCACCAGAGTGAGGCTGAGATTTGTCGTCATCGTCTTCAATATCTTCGGATGGTTTAGCATCGTGGATTTCATCTTCGATAACTGTTTCCGTTCCATAAGGATCCATAACGAAGAAGAAAGAAGAAGAAGAAACCCTAAAACCTCCGAGAACGAAGAAGAAGAAGAAGAGAAGCGGCAGCCGCCTAAAAGCCGTGTAATGCAGTAAGCAAGCCCTAAAACCCTTGGAGAAGAGAACATAAGCGATACTTATTGTACTCCGCGTTGCACTTGATCTATGCTCGTTTCTTGTGTTAGAAATAAGGACGGCTGATATCGCATTTTAATTATATAATGGGTGAATCTTAGCCGTTAGATTGTCTTTTTGTTTTATCAGCAATTTCTGGACAAAAATAGAAATTCATCTCAAGATTTCCGATTTTAACATAAAATAACAAATTCGAACACTGTAATTAGAAAACTGCCAAAATCAACATGAACATTTTGACATATGCGCTTTCATATATATCTAAGCTTTAATATGAAATACTTTTTGTTTTTGTTAATTTGGTGCATTAAAATAAAATAAAAACTACAGAGTTACACGGCTATGGTCTTTTTTTTTTTTTTTTTGAATAACCGCGGGTCTCCCAAAGGCTTCCTAAACCCAAGGACTAATCCCACGAGGCTGGCAATTCCCCTATGTAAACCTGCCAGTGGCCGTGCCTTGAACCCTGGTGGCCGAAGTCACAGCTGTGATCCCTTTACAAAATTAGAAACAAAATTAGAGATAGGAAATTAAGCAAGGAAACTTAATCTAGAATGAGCTAAAGATTAGCTAAAGCGCCTAAGGGGTTGAAGAAGATACATTTAGTTGCTAAAGAACTAACTTCGGCCACCGCGACCACCATGATCGCGGCCTCTTTTACCTCGCCCTCCTACATCCGTCCATTGCATCTCTTGATTTTTTTGAGATGGTTTTACCGGCCTCTCTCTACAAATCCTCTGAGAAAACATCGATTGATTAAAAATTAGTCAAATTACCAAAGACATCGTGGGGTCTAGATTCAGGATTAGAGTTTGAAGGATTAGAGTTTGAGTCTTTTCTCTATTTCAAGAAACTTGTGAAGAAGAAGCTTTTGGTTTCGATTTCCATTTTTGGATATAGCGCATGTTTCAACCTAGCTAGTTTGTCATAATAATTCCAGTTATGTGTTGCATTAGAGGCCTCTGACAACAAGACTCTGAATTCATTTTAGAATCAAAGGGACGATCGTTTGCTTCATATTTCCTAAGATTCGAAATTTGGTTGATTTAGACCGCTCATCATTAACCTAGTTCCTGACTTTATAGTTGACAAATTTCTCTTAATACTTTCTTATGTTAGGAAAATCACCAAAAACAGACTAATGAAATTATTTTTTCCAAAATGTTTTGGTTGAAAACAAGATTTCTTTTAGCTTGTAAAGTAACATAAATATCCTTATTTTATAATACATTATGTTGCTTTAGTCAATACAATTTTTTATGTTTATAAATTAATTACAAAAGACATGAAATTATGTGATTAAAAACTATAAACTAATTACCATACATATAGCGTTTATAATTAAAGCCACAAGAACAGCATATAAATATATTTGAATCTGCTTTTTTTTTAGAACAAAATCACCCATACAACGGATCTTGCATAAATTGCAAATCGGACGAGAGAGACGTTTGTTCGGAAGCAAATCAAATGACCCCTTGTTAGCCATCACTAAACTGTATCCAGGTCTTGAGTGTATTAGATTTTGGAAAACACATTTAGTATGAAGAGTTGAGCCACATTCATTGCATTTGTAAAACCAACTCTTTGAATATCCTTCCTCTTCGCATATCCCACAACAATATGTCGTATTCACATTTATCTCGCCGTAGCATAAGGAGAGAGGATGATCATCGTATTTGTGTCTTACCAATGTGGGTAAAGTTGTGCATGTGAAGCATAAGTTGTAGCCACCACAATCATCTTTATCCTTGCAACGTAGAGAAAACCAACCATGCAAGTCACAACCTTCACATCTCGAGTAAAACAAATAAAAAGATATAAATAACCAATGTGGATGGCTTTCATGTTTAAATACGCCAGAAAGTGATGAGAAACCGGTGCAAAAACGATAACAAGCAGCACAACCAAACAAGTTTTCGAAGTTTTCACCATGCTGACTTTTGGCAGACAACATAAGTATTTGTTTGCTTGACCCGTGTCTTTTCTTACGAGGGAGATTAGCGCATAGATTATGAAGAATAAAATCACATTATGTACATTTGTAGCATAATTCATAATAAAAAGGAAGAGTGCATGCCCAACAATGTTCTCTTGATTCCTCGAGTCTTCATGGCTAAAATGTTTTATTAGCTCTTGATCTATCACTTTAAATGGTTTGTTTTCTTCTTTTTCATCTTCGTCGGGTACCCCTTCAACTTCTCTCCCATCCCAAACATTTTTATCTGTTGCACATTTTGTATGAACAACATAACAAATCGAGCAAGAATATGCTCCATAGTCTCCATTAACATGCTCATAGCATACCCCACAAATCCACTTTCTAAGGGCAAGGGAAGAAACATGTGAGATACGATGGTCGTGGCGGTTGATGTATATAACACGTGGTAAGAAGATGCATGCTCGATGGATTATGAAACAACATTGAAGACAAAAACACGGGTATTCAGTAGTACACAACCCACATGCATCACAAGGGAAGGAGAGTTTTATCGTTACTTGGAGGAGTTCATGGTCATGCGCCTTTGTTTGGTCAAATGGGGGAAATTAGTTTCCAATCTACAACAAATAGATGAAAGCTATAAAAGTGATTCACAAGAGGTACTTATTTATGCTCTATATCGCATTTTTCCATATTAAAAGTTAAAAATTCTATTTATATCTGGTCTCATAGGTAAGGTCCATTTGGTAAAGCTTCCCGGATTAATGAATTGAGGCATAGGCATAGTGCATCGACAGTAGTTGTCAAGCTTTGACAGTAGGTGCAGACTAAACTCAACGAACATGTTCATCGAAAAAGAAGAACATTTGAAGAACATAATCAAAGAGGTGCAGACTAAACTCAACGTCAACGAACTAAGTCAAAATTATTGAATTTTTTCTTCTTCTCAAACATAACACAACAAGTGTTTCACTTGTTGCAAGAGAAAGGATACAGATTACGATTGTTCTGTTTCATAACTAACTTCGACAAATAAAAAACAGAGAAGAGACATGGACGAGAGAGAGAGAAACACGAAAGATATTAGCTGAAATTTGTTCTTTTTTTACTTAACAACTTTTTACAATAACACATACACTTATATATATGTCCTACGGTCGTAACCGTTCGTAACTTGTGGTAACGAAACAACAAAACTTATCTAACAAGTAACGGTTACAACAAAACACACGTGTTGCTCTACTTAATTATAAACCAAACTCAATTATTATAAACTAACAAAAATGGCAAAAAGGTAAAAGAAGCGATTGCTATGCATAACAGAGAAGTATTGCCATTAAAACAAGAGGTAAATGAATTAGCGTTGCTATATGAGCAAAATGGATTGATGGAGATGGAATTGAAGGAGATGCAAGAGAGATATTCACATATACGTCTAAAATTTGCATAAGTTGAAGGTGAGAGACAACAACTTGTTATGACTGTACGTTATCTTAAAATGCCAAGAAGAGGTAAAACAACCAATTCCTCTTATTAGAAGAATTTGAGAATTGATGTTGAACAGAAACTAAAGCTCTCATGAAGAAGACGACGATAAGCTCGAGAGAATAATATGGAAATTATAATTGTTTCTGTTCAACATCAATTCTCAAATTCTTCAAATATGGTATCAGAGCCCAAGGTTGGCCCAACAAGCAAATTCCCACAAAAATGGTTTCCCACCTATGTGGCCCATATAAGTGGCATGTCTTGTTATATTTCCGAAATGTTGGGCTTGAGCTGTTTCCCGTTGGACCGTTTCCCACCTACATCTCGAGGAAGCCTATTAGAATGTTCCACATTGCTTAGGACAAAGATCTTTGGGTAATATATAAAGGATGTGGCAACCCTTAACTCTTGAGCTAGCTTTTGAGTTAAGTTAGACCAAATTCCTAATACCTCTAAAAATATTTCTTGAGATTCATTTCCCTTGCTGCAGCATTTTCTTCCTCCAGCTCAGCTTGGTCCATCTTAAAGGCAACTAGTAGGAGGATACCCATGGCAAAGAAACATCCCAAAACAATTCCTACAAAGATAAATACTACTTGGAGAAAAGTCTGATGAGTGATTTGCTCTAAACCCAGGCTTATATTCACCTGCAAGATATTTCCAAGTAAATTCATATAAGCATAGTTCTTTGCTTAAACATTCTTTCAGAAATGCAAAGAAATAAAGAAACTTGATAAAAAATTTTGGCCTTGTTTGAGACAGCTAGCCGATAAGAATATCTATAGCCTGTACGCGAAGTACATCATCGGTGAGAGTATTTTCAGAACCTTGTGGAAGCAGAGTTGAGTAGTGGCGTCTTACGAAATGATCAATAGCACAACATGTGGCTGGGACAACGCATTGCACGTTTTCACAAACCATAATCTCTTGGAGAACCTGCCAGAGAAGAAGTTGTTGAACTTGCGGTACCAACAAAGGGAAGGAGACAAAAAGGTTTTCAAAGAGAGAATATATAAATCATCTCACATCTTTAGAATCCTGATTCTTATTGATGTAAATCAATGTAGCTCTCATAAGGGTATAGACTGGTGAATGAGGTTCAAGAGACATTGCCTCACTGTAGAATTTACTGGGATGGTGAATAATCTACTGTAGAAAAGGCTAAGCAATCATTCTTCAATCAAGCTCATTCTAATCACAGTTTGACAAATATCTAAGCTGAGATATATTAAACATGTACCAAGACAATTTTTTTATGTTTATAAATTAATTACAAGACACATGAAACGAAAGTTACAAGCTATAAAATAATTCAATACTAATCATCGCAATAAACTCTTATCACTTTTTTAGTCTTCAATACCTCCTAACCAAATCTTTATAATCAAATCCACAAGAGCAGCATATGAATATACTTGTATCCGCCTTTTGGTGGAGAACAAAATCACCCATACAACGGATCTTGCATAAATAGCAAATTGGCCGAGAGAGATGATTGTTTGGTAGCAAATCATATGACCCCTTGTTACCAATCACTAAACTGTATCCAGATCTTGAGTGAATTAGATTTTGAAATACACATTTAGTATGAAGAGTAGAGCCACATTCATTGCATTTGTAAAACCAACTCTTTGAATATACATCCTCTTCACATATCCCGCAACAATATGTCGCATTCACATTTTTCTCACCGTAGCATAAGGATAGAGGATGATCATCGTATTTGTGTCTTACCAATGTGGGTAAAGTTGCGCATGTGAAGCATAAATTGTAGCCACCACAATCATCTTTATCCTTGCAACGTAGATAAAACCAACAATTCAAGTCACAACCTTCACACCTTGAGTAAAACAAATCAAAAAATACAAATAGCCAATGTGGATGACTTTCATCTTTAAATGCATCAGCAATTGAAGCACATCGCACATCAATGCTGCATTGGGGGTTGTTATCATCCCCGGTAATATTATATGAAAAACCAGTGCAATAACGTTGACACGCAACACAAAGAAACAAGTTTTCAAAGTTTTCGCCATGATGACTTTTGGCACACAACGTAAGTTTTTGTGTGCTTATCGCATGTCTTTTCTTCAGAGGGATATTAGCGCATGCATCGTGAAGAATAAAATCACATTGTGTGCATTTATAGCACAATTCAGAATAGAAAGGAAGAGTGCATGCACAGCAATGTTTTCTTGGTTCCTCTAGCCTAGATGATGATAAAGCCTTGAGATTGTGTTCATGGCTAAAATGTTTTATTAGGTTTTGATCTATCACTTCGAATGGTTTGCTTTCTTCTTCTTCATCTTCTTCGGGTACCCCTTCAAGTTCTCTACCATCCCAAATATTTCTATTTGTTGCACATTTTGAATGAACAAAATAAGAACAAATCAAGCAAGAATATGCTCCATACTCTTCATTGACATGCTCATAACATACCCTACAAATCCACTTCCCAGGGGAAAGAGAAGAAACATGAGAGATACGATGGTCGTGGCGGTTGATGTATATAACACGTGGTAAGAAGATGCAAGCTCGATGGATCATGAAACAACATTGAAGACAAAGACACGGGTATTCAGTACTACACAATCCACATGCATCACAAGTGAAGGGGAGTTTTATCATTACTTGGACGAGTTCATGGTCATGCGCCTTAGTTTGGTCAAAGATCAGAGGTTTTCTCGCACAAAGGATACATATAAGAAAAGAACATTTTGAACACTGATAAAGTATTTGAGGATACCTTTTGGTTTCACAAAGATGACATAACCTTGAGTTATAGCTATTTGTGACCATGAGAGGGTGTTTATGACGAGAAGGAAGGTTGGCGTTAATGCATTCCTCATGGAGACAAAACGAGCAGTAATCACACTTGTAGCCTTGTTTGTTGTCATGGTGATCTTCGTAGCACGCATCACATTTCGTTGAGATTTTTGTATATTTTAGAGGAAATTGACAAGTGGGGCATTGTCCTAGATCCATAATTGCGATTACTTTCTTCTTACCTTGTTCCTTTTTTGTTTTAGAACAAATTTTAGGCTTCTCTTTTCCCTTTTGTCGTTTTCTTTTGCAGGGTGTTTGTATATAAAAAGAACAATCAAAGAAAAGCACAAAACTAAAAAAGCGATTATTCTCTTACGTTATACTAAATCTTTTGGACATTGGATTTATAGTTTAATTTTAACTTGATTTGGAATATGAGATTACCTATTTGATACTTAAAAGTAAGGAATAGCTTTAAAGAAAAAGAGAATCTATTGCTTTGCGTATTTACATCATAATTTTAAAGATACTTATTTCGATGATATCAATATTCTTCAGATGTTACATAGATGAAATTTGATGAACAGACTCGTGAAATTCGGCAAGGTCTAGAAGCAAATGATTTTCGAAGAAGGTAGTTGGGTATTCTTTGAGCTTTCTCTATGGTTAAAGTGTTTAGTCTCTCTAAACTGCAAAGAGGTTTCCTCTTGGATTAGAAAACACAACTAGTTAGTTCGTATGTCAATCTAACAATTTGGCGTAATTCGTAAACTTAATTTAGTTTAAAACAAAAATATTAAATTAAACATTATGAATGTTTAACAAAATAAAATAAAACAACATGAAACAATATAGGAAAAAAACACCATGAAAATATTTGAATTCACCAGTAAAGGGTGGAGGTATGATTTTTCGGTTTGGTTTTGGTTCGGTTTTTTTGGTTTAATGTTTTTTGGTTGTGCAAAAACTAAAACCATATAGAAAATTAGAAACCATATATAATTCGGTTTGGTTTTTACGGTTTATCGGTTTTATAAAAATAAAACCATATACTAAAAAGTTAAAAACCATATATATCCCGGTTCGGTTCGGTTCGGTTTCGGTTTAAATCCGTTTTTTAGGTTAATATTCATAATTCTTACAAAAAAGTATATAATTTTGATGCATAATTAAAAATAAACATAGTATAAAAATAATATATCAATCAATAAATAAACATAACTCAAAGAATAGAATTCAAATATTTATAAGCATACTAAAATTATTTTTAAGGACATTATTAAACAAAATATAAACTGAACAAATAAAATTATATATAATTATTCTAAATGTTCTTCAAAACAAAAACAAAAACAAAAACATTCGGTTTTATAGTTTTTAACCAAACCAAACCTAAACCGAAAACTTACTAAAATTGACAACCAAATGGGTTTTAGGCTAAATAATAACCAATACAAATCATTTATTTCGGTTCATTTCGGTTTGGTTTGTTTGCCCACCCCTATTCACCACTCTGAAATTGTCATTTAGAAAAACAATGAGGGGTTAAAAAAATTAATCATAAACTTTTGTGTAAGTTGATAATCAACATTGATAATAGAAAATTTGTGTAAGTTGCATAAAGCTTCATATCTATTACTATAAATTTTAACTAGGTTGTGACCCGTGGTACACCGCGAAAAGATTTGTTTTCTAAAATTTGTGATTTTTTAAATTTTATGATTATGTATTATAAAAAAGATTTTAAATTGTATCATTTTTTAAGATATTTATATTTTATAGTTTATAATTGTCATTAATATAACTGACAATATTTATTTTATACAATCTTAACTAAATCAAGCTGATTGAACCCGTATTGAAGCGACGGATTCATAATATTTTAAATTTTTTATTAATATTGATTCAAACATGTTCCGCAGTATAACTTCGTTTCGCAATATAATCCGTCATGTATTATTTTAATATTTTTAATATGTTCAATGTGTTTAACTGCTTGATGCGCGACGATGAACACCGCCGTCAGAAAAACGTTCTCCAACTTGACTTACTTCCTCATTCAAAATGAAAACCTCAACCCACTAATGAGTTTAGTTACCTAACAATGTTTTGGTTGAATACAAAATTAAATCTTTTGTAAAAATAAAAGAAACATCTTTATTTTATAGTTGATTATGTTTCTTTAATCAGTACAGTTTTCATTCATTTACAAATTATATTACAACTTAGACATGATAAAATGCAGCTAAAAATTCTATAAATTAATTTAAGTACATTTTTTTCCTTAAATTTTCACTTTATTCATTGATACCTTTTTAATTAATTTCAGTACTAATTGCCATAATACACGTGTGGCATGTACCTTTTACTCTAATTTTAATCGCGTAAGAATCTGGGCTTCCCAAGAAAATTCTTAGAAAAGCCACAAAAACAGCATATGAATATATTTGTATCCGCCTTATTGTTTAACACTAAATCACCCATACAACGAGTCTTACATAAATAGCAAATCGGCCGAGAGAGACGATTATTGGGAAGCAAATCAAATGACCCCTTGTCACCCAACACTAAACTGTCTCCTATTCTTGAGTGTATTAGGTTCTTAATTACACATTTAGTATGAAGAGTGGAGCTACAATCATTGCATTTGTAAAACCAATTCTTCGAATATACTTCCTCTTCGCATATTCCGCAACAAAATGTCACATTCATATTTTTCTCACCATAGCATAAGGAGAGAGGGTGATCATCATATCTGTGTCTTACCAATGTGGGTAAAGTAGCGCATGTGAAACATAAATTGTAGCCACCACAATCATCATTTCCCTTGCAACGTAGAAGAAACATAGGAGCCAAGTCACAACCTTCACATTTCGTTCCGGCTGTCTCGTCTACCAGAATTACAAATAACCAATGTGGATGACTTTCATGTTTAAATGTATCAGAAATTGAAGCACACCGCACATCAATTGTGATGTAAAGGTGAAAATATTTCTTAATATACGAGAAACCGGTGCAATAACGTCCACAAGCAAAACAAATAAACAAGTTTGCAAAGCCTATGCCAAACTGACCTTTGTCACACAAAGTAAGTATTTGCGGGCTTATTTGGTGTCTTTTCTTGAGAGGGAGATTAGCGCATGTATCATGAAGAATAAATTCACATTGTGTACATTTGTAACACAATTCCGAATAAAAAGGAAGAGTGCATGCATAGCAATGTTCTCTTGGTTCCTCGAGCCTTAATGATGATAATGAAGCCTTGAGATTGTGTTCATGGCTAAAATGTTTTATTAAGTTTTGATCTATCACTATGAACGGTTTGCTTTCTTCTATTTCATCTTCTTCGGGTACCCCTTCAAGTTCTCTCCTATCCCAAATGGTTAAAGATGTTGTAGCACATTTTGAATGAAAAACATAAGAACAAACCAAGCAAGAATATGCTCCGTACTCTCCATTAATATGCTCATAACATACCCTACAAATCCACTTCCCAGGGCCAAGAGAAGAAACATGAGAAATACGATGGTCATGGCGGTTGATTTTTATAACACGTGGTAAGAAGATGCAAGCTCGATGGATTACGAAACAACATTGAAGACAAAGACACGGGTATTCTGTACTACACAACCCACATGCATCACAAATGAAGCGGAGTTTCATCGGTACTTGAAGGAGTTTATGTTCATGGGCCTTAGTTTGTTCAAAGATCAGAGGTTTTCTCGCACAAGGGATACATATACGGAAAGAACATTTTGAACATTGATAAAGTATTTGAGGAATTCTATCGGTTCCGCAAAGACAACATAACTCTTGGTCATACCTTTTGATGAGCTTGAGAGGGTGTTTATGACGAGAAGAAATTTTGACGTTGACGCATTCCTCATGGAGATAAAACTCGCAGAAATTACACTTGTAGCCTTGCTTGTTGTCATGGTGATCTTCGTAGCACGCATCGCATTTTGATGAAATTTTTATATATTTTAGTGGAGAATCATGAGCGGGGCATTGTCTTAGTTCCATTTTATCCATGGTTGCGATGTTGGAACTTTCGTCTTACCTTGTTCCCTTTTTTTTTGTTATGGAACAAAGTTTCGACTTCTCTTTTCACTTTTGTCTTCTTCTTTTACAGCCTATTTGTACATTAAAAAAGAAAAATCAGATAAATATATGATTTATTCTTTAGTAAGAAAAAAAAAGAAATATATGAATTTATTCTCTTACATCTATGGATGTTGGATAATATTTTATAGTACTTGAATTGGAACATGAGATTACCTATTTGATACTAAAAAGTAAGGAATATCTTTAACGAAAAAAAAAAGAATCTAGTCCTTTGCCTATTGAAGCGTCATAGTTACAAAGATTCTTTTTTTTTTTTGGTACGAAAAAATGATGCTGGAGACTGAGGAGAAACTGTTTTACTTCTCCAAGAAGTTAACTAATGTGGTAGTGGATACTAAACTATTCAATATGGTAGTGGAATCTCATACCAAAATTCAGACTATTTCCCGTGCCCATAGAAATCCAAAATTTTATTGCTATTAAAGACGTCTATGGGTGGCTAAAATGCAAGGTGCATTATTTTTCCTAACAATATAAAACTATTTGAAATGATTCGATCTTTGGCCTACACCTATGGAGACTTCATTACAACTCAAGAGAATCAATCCTTGGCCTACGAAAACTTGGTTTTTTATAGTATTTGTAAATTTAATCACCAATTAGTATTTTCACTTGAGTAGTGAGAAGTTACAATCATTGATCATAGCTTGATTTGTATAAATCGAGTATCAAATTAAGACAATATCATGTAATTGTCCTTTTTAGCTTACAATATACTGTGTTGCATGTTCTTCACATCACAACTCAACCAGCAAGCCATACACAATTTGTTTACAAGCTGAGGAAAACTCGAAGAAAAAGTGAGAGAATGAATAAGGAAGAAGGATGACCTCTATGGCACTTGGAAGAAATCGTATCACATCGAACATCCAACTTTATATTTCCACTCTCGTATCTAAAATCATTAATTGTTTGTTGCTTTACAAGCGACACATGTGAATTATCTCTTTTGCCAAGTTCAAAGTTTGGGATTGGAGTAGAGAGTAAACTGGTGCTTGTGTACACGTTTTTTTTATCACGTAGCCGTAGGAGGATACATCACGCATGCATAACATCTTTGGTTCTTGTTGCCCAAAAAAACTTTTGATCAAAACAACTTAAAATGTTCCCACATCACTCTCCATGGCTTCTTTTTGTAAACATCGGCTTTGATCTTCTGTGAATCACATTTCGAACTCTTCATTTAATAAATCCCTTAATTCAAAAACCTAAATAAACATATCAAATTACGGATCCATTGATGAAAATGCACAAATGATATAAACATTGCTGGCCTTAGGTTCGGTAGTTTACAACTCACACAACAAAATATCATCGTCAAAATCTAAATTTCTACATTGTGTTTTGAGGATTAAACCTTCTTCTTCCTTCTCTTCTGTAATAGGGAGTTTCATCCACTGTTCTCTTCACATACTCCATAAACGGTGATGGTGTTCTTGGAGATTCCTCATGGTATATAACTGCACCGCTTCTTCTTTCTGGTGTTCCCGGTGCTGCAGTTCCACTGTTTGTTGCAGTTCTAGTAGCTCCTGTTGGACCAATTGGCCCTTGTCTATCTATCACTTTCATCAAGATGATCACTGATATTGCCAACACCAAAACGCACCATAGTATCTTGAACAAAACAGAGTATCCATCTTTAGACGAAGCTACTAGGGACTCGCCCGTGTCATAGGAGACATCAATTTCTACACTTTGGCCTGTAGAGAACATTTCATCACATGGTAAGTTGAAGAACCAGAGCCTAGTCTATAACTGGTGTAATAAGAATTAGCTCACCAGTAGCGGGGAGAGTGATGCGGATTATATCTGTGAATTGCTCTGATCTTAACACATTCACCTGAAAATGGTTGATAAATATCAATAGCTTACTATATTGTTGATCTTTTATTAGTATGGATCAGATTACCTAACTTATAGATAGGGTTTAAGGGAGAAATCACCTTGTATAGTGCAAGCCCTGCGATACCAAAATCTTCCCTTTTGATCAAGTTGATCGATAACCTACCTTTGTTGCGGCAGTGAATTTGAACATCTGCAATGAGTAATATTAAGTATCTTTTGCATTTCTTTCATAAGGAAAAAAAAACGAACTAACAATGGATAATGGAATTTACCAGTGTTCCCCACTATTGAAATACTTGTCGTGTTTGAATCTGGGTTTATATTCAACTGCAAGATATTTCCAAGTCAAACTCACATAATAGCACATCTCTGAAATTATAGGCTTCGCTTAACTATTGTTTCAGAAATGCAAAGAAATTAAGAAACTTGATAACCTTATTTGGCCCTGTTACAGAAAACCCTCCAATAAGAAGTGCAGATGCAGATCCCGAAACATGACGAGCTTCTTTAAGTGAAGCATTAACAGAGAAGGACACATGAGGTTTCATGTCTTTTGTTATAGACATGGAGCGAACCAGATGCTCTGGTGAGTATGGGAAGAAAAGACAATAAGTGTTGCCCGTAACGAGATCCATCCATGGCTTTGCGTATCTTCAATGCAAGATAAATAAGAGTCAAGGCAAGAACGAGCATTTATATATACACAAGTAAATTCACTGCAAGAAAGTATAGTTGAAGTAAGCAGCAATACCCTATAAACGGAGGGTCTACTTGGCAGTTAAACGTGGCCTTGTTTCCATTTTCAGAGACTGCAAACTTGTTCTCCCTGTTGCAGTTATTATCACCAGTGACTAATTTGTTGCATATATGTTTTTACAATGCAACATTAAGAGATTACAGACCTGAATTTCACTGGAAATTTATATCCTTCTGCAGGGACGTGGATATTTGCCAGTGTTTCACTTGGAGAGTCGACGTATATGGTGTTTCCAAATAGCACTGTGACTTTTGTTTGCAGTTTCAAACCATGACCTTCAAATGTAACTGTGCATATGCAACAAAGATCAGTAGCAGGATAAAGAATACCTCTTAGTGGATCCTTTAGAAATCCAACTGATGCACAAGAAAAAGCACGAAAAGATAAATTGATATTACTGTGAGTTGAGCCTTGGCTGATCGCTTTAGCTTGGCCAGATGCCACATTTACGGATAGGACACTTCTGTTTGATGTAACCCATTGACCAGAGACTTCATGATCAGACCCTAAATCACATTACAAGTTTCTTAGATTTTTGCAAGAAATCTGTATTTTTTAACAGAATGGGCATTAAAATGCCATGATCATGTAGATTTGATTTGACATTTTACCTGCTATGCTGAAATTTAACACATTTCCAGTGTGAATGACCGGGTTTTGAGGAAAGATATGCGCCCCAACTGAAACCTGGCAAAAGAAAACACCTGTGATATATGCATACCTACATGACATAAAGTTATTTCTTTACAGAGAAATTTGTTAAAGTTAGGTAACTAAATTCATGATATTAGTCCTTACCAGAACATAGTCTGATTTCCTGAGATTACCGCCAATGGAAACCCGAATGAGAGCTTTGCCATGTTTTATTCCCTTCATTATATACAGAAGATAGATTGTACGTCAAAAATCCTAACTGACTTGAGTAAACTATTTTTGACTAAGTATGTTAAATAAGCACAACATGTATCAATTCATAATAAGGATCAACGCACCTTAATGTAGGCACTTGGTTGGTCATTGACAGTCTTAATAGATACAACATCACGATGATTGGTTTCGACATTATATGTAATAACACCATGTGCTTCGAGAAAAGGGATTCCTTTCCAAATAAAACCAAAGATATTAAAATAAAATAAAAACAAACACACCAAAAAATGAAGCTTTCACATAAAAGTACGAGAGCATTACCTAAAGTGTCATAGTAATTGATTGGAAGTTCAAGTTCACCGCCAACAGCAAGATCTATCACGTGGAAAGGGATCCCCTCACTCTTCATTCTTATTTGAGCAACCTGAAAGAATTCTATGTTACCAACAAAGTAGACTTATAGAAGATAAATGAAGTAAGAAATGACAACGATCCTCTACAAACTGAAAGATAGTTAATGTACAGACTTCCACATTCAAAATACCTCTGCAACCCTCACACAAGCAGCAATCTCAATCCTTCCACTTGTGCGGTCTTTGGCTTGAATACATGCAACATTGTTGCTATCTGTTGTTTTGACACTTCCGCCATTTATTGATATGGTATCTCGTTCAAAATCAGCCCGAGAGCTACAGTCTTTCAATATGGAATAGACTATATTGCCTTTGTGACTTTGGCCATCCCTATGCTTCTGTGGCTCTAGAGATGAAGGTAATAGACCAGATGATGTATAAAAAGGCGGAAGAACCCAAGTCATAGGAGCGCCAAGCGAAAGAGGGAGATCAGGCACAACAGATAAAATCATTGACGCTTCATATGTTCTAGATTCAGAGTACAAGCCAGGAGACACGAAATCACATGAGAAGGCAATTGTGACTCTGGTTTTGCCAGCTGATCTGTAAGAGAAAAGATAAGCTGCTCGTTAGAATTTCCTAAGTTGTCTAGCTTATGTGAATATGTTTGTGAGTCGTCAAAGTTTACTAATCTACATAAACCTTAGCTGAACAGAATACAAGAATACTAAGCTCAAGTTATTACTAAATGTGTCATTGCCTTCTAAGCTTGAGTAAGTAATTGTTCCAACAATGTTTAACGCAAGCTAATTTCACTAGCTGAGCCTACTTTAAAAAGATGAATGATGCTTAGCATGATGATGCCTTGTAAGGATATTTTAGACTAGTGAAAAGTAACTTCTCTATTAGGATAAGTTTTAATTAGCCAACCTGAAAATATTTAATAACCATAATTGGACAATGGTTTGCATTTTATTAATCTATAGAGTATAAATGCAAGAGCACATGCGATAATCTTAAGTTACCTTCCTTGGACGACATTGACAAAGCCAGCATTCTCTTCCACATTAATGGATGATGCAATGAAAATTAACACCTTAACAAGAAAAACAGAGCTTTCAGTCATAAACATAGGAGTTGAAAAAATAGATTACTATTTATACTGTAAGGGTGAACACTGAATTGGACCT